ACTATTTTAATACTTGTCATCTTCACTTACTTTGAACGAGAACTCAGCTGCTTTTTCCTAATTGCAGCTTGTTTCTTCTACTTGATAAGAAACTTACATCCAGGCTACCTCAGCTCCTCCTCGAGAATTTAACAGTATTATCGAGAAAACTACTACTTTGTTTTCTCGTGACAACTGACGTGGAGCCTGTCACTGGTTTTGTGCAGGCGAACAGTGGCGGCTGCCCTTCGCGATGGGTCTTTCATACAACATCTACCTCTCTTCTAATAAGATCTTCGGATGCAAGACCTGCAAAACCCACTTGGCCGATTATCACGATATCATCAGCCGAGTTAGTAGCACCTTGTCCCTCCCTTGTCCTCAGCCATACCTGCCTCTCTAGCTGTCTCTCATTCTCCATAAAATAATCCCCCCTCTTACCCCTCCTATCCTTCTTATTCTTTCGTAGCACTCAACAGAGACTAACATGACAACTCCAAAAATAGAATTTCCGTGGCCAACATGGCAAAGCCTTCCTCTTCAATAGCGTTGTCAACATAACCCAAGCCGAAGCTGTAGAGCGCAGCATGACGACTGGCCGACATGTTGTTCGAGACATTATGTGCCGGCAGTGCAAAGAGACAGTCGGGTGGAAGTACGACAAGGCATACGAAACCGCCGAGAAATACAAAGAAGGCAAATTCATCCTAGAAGCGGAGCTACTGTGTATGGTGTACTAGAATCGTTTTTGACTCGGACTTGAACTTTCCTTTCATTTCAACTTTTTTTTCTTCCCAAGGGACCATTTAGCCTCGATTACCATGGTGGTACGGAACAGTCGATCGGGCCGTACTTGTATGCGTGGTTTTCAGAACCAGCCCTTGATGCACGATCGGGACCTTAGAGAGAACAACATACCAACATATCATCATCGGGCACGGCGAAAGAGGTATTGCATTGTTGGATTGGATTTGGCTTTGATTTTTATTTGGGCGTTTCCCTCTATTTTTCTCCTGATTTGTCGAGACTTTTGTCATTCTTAATTACGTGCTTTTTCTTTTTCTTTCTTTCTTTCTCTTTTTTTTTCTTTTCTTTTTTTTTTTTTTTTTTCTATTAGCAAGCCTGTAAAATGGCGTTGCAATTGGAGTCTGGGTTTCGGGAGTTTTCTATTTTATTAATCTCAACCGGGGATGGTGGAATTCGCGCAGGATTCTTTTTGTTATCTGTTTTCGCCGTGACTGGAACCGCTCCTCTGTTTTCCCTTCAAACGCTCAGCTCAGATATTAAGGATTTATTCTCATGTCTACCTCTCCCTTCTCAGCTCCGCTCTAGTCTGACTCCCAAATGCTCTTTGAAGTGTGTAAAGAAGAAAGGAGATTTGAAATTATTTTATTTATTTATTTATTAATATATTTACCTAAATCTGACCCACCCTGCATTTTTACAAAATTCTACTTTTTGGGACGCGATCAGCTCCTCCAGCATGAGAAGTACTATCGAACCGCTATTGGTACGCGGATTATGAAATAGTCAATTCCCCTCCCCTATCTTTTTCTCTCCAGCTTCGAATGGCTGCTTAATAGTTTTCGTGGAGAGCCTCATTCTTTATGTTTTAGTTGATTGTTATCGCGTTAGATTGTGTATGGCATGCCCCCGGCGCCTAAGGGGGGGCATACCCCACAACAACGAAACCACATCCACCTCCGGCTTCTAAATTTTATTTACTATGTATTTCTCTATTGATATTTTTTGGCTCAGTTGGCTTGCTCGCGTGGGTTGACAATAATAATGTCCCTTTTTAACAGGAGGTTGCTATGGAGGCAGCATTAGCGGGAACGAAAAGAAAAAAAAGACCCTGGACACCGAGCTGCAGAGTTTCCCCTTCCCCGCACTTAACTATAACGGGGTGGTTTAGTTCACTAATAACTTACCGGCTCTGCCGCCTGCGACACTCTGTGCTTCGATTTTTGTTCGGCAGACAAGACGGTTGTTGGCTTGGGGGGTCTATTATTATCTCTCCATGGATGCCACCATTTATGTTTCAAAGTGGACGGGAAGAGGATAACTGGACGATGGCTCCTCGAATCCTCTCCCTCCCTCCCGTTCAAAAGTTGGGGACAAACCGCCATCGGCTTCTGTGATTGTGAGCCGAGGCGAAGCTGAACAACCTCTTCTGCACAACTAACGGTATATGGTTAACTAGTTAAATAACAACACAGAGAAGCCCAACAGCGGGGCAGTATCTTTTTCGTTTTCTGCTCTGCTTGATATACGCAGCGGATGTAGTCTGTTAAAATGCGCTTGCGGAGGACCCGGCAATTATCGCTGTGATACTGTACGGAGTAACTACTGTATAACTTATATAGTTAACTTCTGTACGCAGCAAAGGGCCAAACCAGACTACTCGACGGCGCATCCATCCTATTACACAGCTTGATCCACGTCGCATCGCACCCAATTTACAAAATAAAATCACTTTCAAAGGGCATAAGAACGAAATATATCGAAATATACTCTTCCCTCCCGAGGGCCGTTACGGGTTTTTCCTTCCAGCCACGGATCTCGCCTTGAAATCTCCGCTAAATCCCCAACCACCCTTTTGCTTCGTCTTCCTTTCTCTCCTTCTATATAAAAAAATATCCTCAGTCAAAAAGGTTCCAGGCCCAAAAAAAAAATAAAAAAAAAATAAAAAAAAAAAAATTCTCACCATGGCTACAAAGGAAACCATGCGCGCGGTCGTCTTTAAGGGACCCTACAAGATTGCCGTGGAGGAACGGCCGGTGCCTAAGATCCAGTCACCGACAGATATCATTGTTAAAGTTAAATATGCGGCGCTCTGCGGGAGGTATGTATCCCTTTTTTTTTCTTGTAAGTCTCCCCTTTCTTTTCTTTATGTGGCTTTGCTTGTATGGTAGTTTATTACTATGGCATTTTGGCGACATGGCCTTCTTCAAGCAGAGATTCAAGCAGAGAGGCATCACTACTTTCGAAACACCCCCCTTTTTTTGTATTGTGCGGTTCATTTTCTCTTTCTGCTTCCAATGTTTCTTCTGTTTTTTGCTAATTCAACCCAGCGAACTCCATGTTTTCCGCGGTCATCAGCCGTCCGGCACTGGGTTTATCATGGGCCATGAGTTCATGGGCGAAATTGTCCAAGTCGGTAGCTTAGTTAAGTCGGTGAACGTGGGAGATAAGATTGTCTGCCCATTTACTACCAGCTGGTATGTTTATGTCCTTACCCCAAAATTTCGCTATTGAAAGGAGGAGGCATAACACCATGCGCGAGAAACGATCGGGGGTAGGTAGGGGATGGTTTCTTCTTTTTTGCTCGTTTTTACTGACTAGGAATGAAATTGAAAAACGAAACAGCTTAGAATGCTTCTACTGCAAAAATGGCTTTTCGTCTCGGTGTGCAAAATCGCTGCTGTTCGGCAGTGCTGTGCTTGATGGGTCCCAGGCAGAATATGTAAGTCCTGCTTCGATTGATGACTCGGGTCAAGTAACTGGCGGTGGGGAAAAGGGCGCAAATTTGCTGATGCAATGACACGTTTTTTTCATGTAGGTCCGCGTCCCTTATGCTGATGGGACTGTCATGAAAGCCACGGAGGGAATCCAGGACCACGCCCTCGTCCTTATGGCGGATATCTTCCCAACGGGATACTTTGCAGCCAGCAACGGACTCCAGCAGTTCACCAAGGAGCAACTTTCCGAGATGACCGTCGTAGTGATTGGTTGCGGGCCGGTGGGACTCTGCGCAATCATCAACGCAGAGGACTACAAGCCCAAACACCTCCTAGCAGTTGACTCTGTACCAGCGCGGCTCGAGCTTGCCAAGTCGCTGGGCGCGGAACCGTGGAATTTCCAAACGGACCCCGAGGGACTGGATAAGCGTGTCAAGGAGCTGACTGATGGCAGAGGCGCTGATGTGGTGATTGAGGAGGTTGGGCTGAGTCCTGCTCTGAAGATGGCATTTGAACTTTTGAGGCCATGGGGCACGATTAGTAGTGTGGGCGTTCACAATGGGCAGGTAAGATGGAAAATAGAATCTGCGCAATCTCTCTCCATTATGTTTTCCCAGTGATAAAAAGTGATTCTAACACGGAGAATGACCCAATAGATCCCCTGGACGGGCAATCAGGCTTACGGAAAGAACCTGAAGATTCAGATGGGAAGATGTCCCGTGCGGTCCATATTTCCGCAGGCTATTGATATACTCAAGAAGAAGCAGCATCTGCTCGGGTAAGAAGGCCCTCTCTCCCCCCTCCCTCTCCCCCTACCTTTTTTTTTTTTTTTTTTTTTTTTTTCCATCGCGGCGCGATACTCACAGAATCGATGTGCAGATTCATGGCGGATAAGATCATGCCACTGAGCGAGGCGGAGGAGGGATATAGCATTTTCGATAAAATGCAGGTGCAGAAGGTTATCTTTGAGGGAGATAAATAAAGGTAAACTGAAGGCACAGGGAAGAGCTGCTTCACTACCTCGTTGCTTCGGTGTCTTCGTTGAGTCGCTCGATCTCAACAGGATATGTTCCTGAGATACGGGCCTGGCTGTAAAACATAAATAGTCTATAATTTTTTTAGTTCCTTGCGAACACGGTTCCCAGAATGAATATTCAACGAATCAGTTTTGTGCTGCCCCGTCTTTGTTTTTATTCTCCCCGTAACATTGGTAGAGCAGATACCGACCGATATACGGAGCAGACACCAGTCTGAACCCTCATGTAGAAAGGCATTGCCTGTTTCTTTTCGGGATTTAGAGGATTCAGTTGGATTGGCAGTGGATAATTCTGCAAGGTTACAACTTGCATTCAGTTGTAAGAGGATTTTTAACGGTATTCTGAGATGATTTAGATATTTTGAGCGCGCTGTTTGACCTTGAATTCGAGCAGAAAGCTACCACAAAAATAAGTCATACTACAACCGCAATATCCTATGAACTAAAGTCTCCCTATCTTTTTTCTAACAGAGATCTAAGAGTTGATGCGTCCAGTAGAAAGCTGGTATGGGGCAGGCAAATATGAACTTTTTATATAGGCTTTTTTTTGGTGGTGAAGTTTTCTCGCTTCGCCGAAAAATTCACAAGGGGGGCGGGTGGCTTGGGGGAACAACGGGAAATATTCAACCAACACTCACTGCCAGCGAGTCAGCGACTGCCTGACTAAGTCCTCCACCACCACCAACGCACGCCTGCCCCCAATCCACATCACAGTCGTCGTCCATCTTCCTCCATCCACCCTCCATCCTCCAACCTCACCTCACCTCACCTCACCTCACCTCACCTCTCAACTTTCCCGCTCCTCTCTCTCGCCCTCCATCTCCCCCCCATCCCCCCATCATCCTCTCCCCTTCTCCCATCCTCCTCCTCCTGTTCTCTCCCGCCTACCTCACCTCTCGCCTCCTCCGTCAACCTCTTCACCCGTCGCGAGCTACCACCTCCACCTATCTCTCTCACCGACTCGACTTCCGCGTTCCACCCTCCACCCTCTGCGCTCCGCGCTCCGCTCTCCGCACTCCGCCATCGTCACTTTCACCCTCTACCTCGCCGAATCCGCGTCGTATTCCACCTCACTTCCTCACCTTTCCGCTTGTTTTCTTTGGCGTGCGACCTACCTTTGTTCCTGCTTACCTCTTTGAGTAGGTCGCTCTTCTATTTCTATTTTAACTTTCTTTGACAAACGGCCTTCTATATAAACATCGCTCCTGACTACTCTCTCGGTCTGGATAGTTGCGTTTAGATCCTCCTAACGAACAGAAAGCAATTTCTGCCTCTACGATCGGGATCAAAAGTTATTCGCCTTCGCAAAAAAAAGGAAAAAATTGCGTTGAAAATATCTCCCCACACCGCCATCAATTATATCCCTCCTCACTCCAATCCCATCCTAGCTTCTTTTTAGCATTTTCAAAATGGCAAACAACGAATCTCGTGACGCCGCCCCGGCTGTGGTCGATGAAGTAATGACAGACTATAGCCGCAACGATCAGGGCGAAGCTGACGGCCCCCCTAAGACTGAAGAGGAATACGCTCAGTCTACACTGACCCTTCGCGCCATTGTTTCTTCAAAGGAAGCTGGTGTGATTATTGGCAAAGCTGGCAAGAACGTGGCAGACCTGCGTGACGAAACTGGTGTAAAAGCTGGCGTGAGCAAGGTCGTACAAGGTGTCCATGATCGAGTTTTAACCGTCACTGGTCCTCTTCAAGGTACCGCTAAAGCATATGCCATAGTCGCCAAGGGTTTGCTTGAAGGTGCTCCTCAGCTTGGAATGGGTGGTGTGGTTTCGAATACCGGTACCCATCGTAAGTGTCTCTGCCCGTTGATGGATTCGTTTCTATTTGCCACTCGAATTATCCTCGATGACTGCCTCCAACATAAGATGCGAGTGCATATTATTGTTTTTACTTTTTCTACTATGATTATTTATATTCAGCTACTGACTTCTTCCAGCTGTTCGCCTTCTTATATCTCACAATCAAATGGGCACAATCATTGGCCGCCAGGGCTTGAAGATCAAGTATATCCAAGACGCTTCTGGAGTCAGGATGGTCGCACAGAAGGAGATGCTCCCACAGTCAACTGAACGGATCGTTGAAGTTCAAGGCACACCCGAAGGAATCGAGAAAGCCGTGTGGGAAATCGGCAAATGTCTTATAGATGACTGGCAACGCGGGACTGGGACTGTTCTCTACAACCCCGCTGTTCGCGCATCCGTTGGCGGAGGCCCCATGAATAATTCGCTCGGATCTGGAACCGCTGCAGGCGGTTACGGTGGACGCTCTTACAACCGTACTGGAAATGGTGCTGATTTTAGCGACCAAACCGGTGGCTATAACCGACGCTCGAACTCCGATGCAGCCAACCGCGGCATCCCGCTTGTAACTGAAGACGGAGAGGAGGTCCAAACACAGAATATCAGCATTCCTTCCGACATGGTTGGCTGCATTATTGGCCGAGGTGGAAGCAAAATCAGCGAGATTCGAAGGAGCTCCGGCGCCCGTATTTCCATCGCCAAAGCCCCACACGACGAGACTGGTGAACGTATGTTTACAATCATGGGCAGCGCAGCAGCTAACGAAAAAGCCCTCTACCTCTTGTACGAGAACCTGGAAGCCGAGAAAATGCGCCGCAGCCAGCAACCGCAGGAGTGAAGCAGCCCCACTTCGCCCGAGTAGGGTTCATGGTAGCAGTGCGTCCAGATGTTGCGTGACAGTGCGGGTGTCTTTATACTGTCGAGGCAGACTGTGGATTACATTAGGCAATCATCAGTGTCGCTATTCCCCTAAGTCTCAAACCCACAGATCCGCCAAACCTCCGGTTTCTTTTAGTCATTATATCCCGTACCCGATACCCAAACGATTCTCCCTTGCTCAACAGTGGTGTTGTCATGGTATAACGAACTGGACTTCTTGGGCCTATCGACCTCGACCGTCACAGACCGCTCCGCTTCAGTACTCCTGAACTCTCCAAGATCTTCATTTCCCGCCCCGTTTCTCGCAATGTACTGGATTATTCTTCTTAATCTTACCTACTCTTACCAGTCTCTCTTATCCATGTTTCCCCCTTGAACTCTTATTTTCCGTGCGCCTTAACTCCAAGTTTCATTAAAATCCGTACCTTTTATCCTTCTTCCCCGCTTAAAAGTCGCGTCAATTGTTTACGTCACATCAACGATGAATCCCGAATCACACAAATACCAATCCTTCAAAAACACTGATGTCTCCATTGAAAACTTATTTTTCTCCCTCGATTCTTCTCCGTTTCTTCCATCATGCCATTCATGTATTCCTTTTTACCGCCTTCGTCCTTGTTCTCGTCCCTCCCAAATGGCATTCTATTCATCCGCAAGAAAAGAAAAAAAAATCTCACACGCGCAAAACTGAAAGCTCCCCATGATTCTACGCTACGTATACATGGCTAATGTCCCTTTCCATGTGCAATCCGCTTTTGTTCTTCAGTATATCAACTTCAGAGACAACTCTACCAAATTGAACCACACACGCAGCTGCTGCACGCAACATTGTTAAAGGTGGACAGATAAATGGACCTTTGAGGACGTCCTCCCGCCCTCTCTTTCCTATCTATCAATTTGTGTCTTGAAGAAAGAGAGAGGAGCCGCGAGCAAATTAAAAATGAGATTTGATGTCTTCATTATAATACTATAAAAAAAGTAGCCAAAAAAACTAAGAATTAAAAACATTATCTATCAAAAACTGATGCCTTCTCATTCTGTGTCCATCATCTAAGATTACTTGAAATGTGAAAACCAAACTGATGAACAATTTCCTAGAAATTCTTTCATTACTGATAAGTAAAAGAAGGTGCACTGTTCATTTCATTCAGACCAAGATGAATGCACACAACTTTAGACACTCAGCATCCTGTATCACTGCAAAAACATTCTTAACAGAGGCAGGTTACATATTTTATCTAACTTTCTCAATATCAAAATTTCTAAAGCTAAACATTGGGTCACATTACCTTGCTAAGGAGTCGAACCTCCCCATTATTGAATCTTCACCACTTGTCACACTCAGACACACTTGAAACCACCACAGCTGCGTGTGAACGAAACGGGATTCTTGGTGTGTGGAGAACATGGTCCAAGGACTTTCACAGCATCTCAGTGTTATGAATACAGGGAGCCCAGACAAATGAATGAACCCAATGCAGCACTCTGGCATTCCCTCATCTTCAAAAACAAAGGGCAGATAACCCAACTGATGGGGAAATTTTTCCTCTCTGAGTAACAGCCAGAGAGCAATGTTGATTTCCAGCGTACTTTGCGATGGGGGTACCACTTCAAAAGGCTGCGTGCCTGCTCAACTGTCAGCAACTATGAGCAACTGTACAATTCGAAATGGATTCTCATATGGGCTCCCAACGTACCTACGCTGTCTCTCTCTCTCTCTCTCTCTCGCTCTCTCCCACTTGCCTCATCAAATGAAATACATGAACCATCCCTACATCCTCACGCGGGAGCCCCCAAGAACCACACCTTCCTCCAACAACGACATTCCCCCTCACGCCTGTCATCCTTCTGCTCAGCGGAGCCGCGAGCGCCTTTGCCTTACCCACTGAGCCTTAGTGTGCTAAAATATGCAAGGCATGCTTTTCCTCTGCCCGATGGGGCGGGATACTTAGGGAATTGGGTGAAGGCATGAAAAAGCGTTGGCGGATACTTTAAGAGAGTTCGCAGGGCGTAGTTATTTCATATATCCGTTCTAGCCGGGGGGGAATTGGAGATGGCTCCATGTTGCTTCAACCAATCTGAGCTAGGCACGCGGGGGCTTTTGTGATTGGTGGGGGGGATGGATGATTTGGGCGTCTATTTGGCAGTTAAACGGACATCATCAAGAGGGCGGAATATCTGATCCGGTTTGATCACGAAGAGAGGGTTTTATTTCTCTTTTGCAGAAGTCGGGTCGGAAATAGGAGATCATAGAGAAGTTTCAGTTGGGAGTTAACCCCGACCGCGAGCGCTTGATACAATCCATCACTTCGTATCCGTGAATTGCTCATGGCCCCGTTTATTCTGTAACTACTCCGCATGTTGCTGTCATTACCTTGGAAGCATCTTGCAAAAGGCTAAATAAAAGTCATTAGCGCGGGGGTACACAGAACAAGCGGAATGGATTCCTGGGACATTAATTGCGGATGACGAAATCTGCCTGACTAGTTATATAATAATAAACAATCGATATTTACGCAGTAATGCAATATATAAACCAGTTATCCTCCTTTGAATAAGTCCCTCCAAGTTCCTTTCCTTGCTCTCGAAAATATAAACAAAGGAAATATCTTATCTAATTAGGGTTTCCAGTGACCTAACCCTAATTCACTCCAACATCGCAACCCCGCAACGCCATCGAAGACTGATAAGAGACACCAGCAAACTACCTGTCTGTCCAAAATGACACGAATCCTCCTCACAGGTATAGTGATAGTAGCTTTCCCTCCTCCCCAAGAACATAATTTGGAAAATTGACCAAAAAAAACCAAACTGACAAGTTTCATACGTGGCAGGCGGAAGCGGTTTCATCGCTGCTCATGTCCTTGACACTCTGCTCCAGCGCGGCCACTCGGTGGTGACAACCGTACGCTCGGAAGAAAAGGCTCGTAAAATCAGAAATTTACATCCAAATGTTCCCAAGGATAAACTGGATTTTGCAATTGTGGAAGACATCGCGAAACTTGATGGTATGCACTGCACTGCCGCGGGCAAGAGTTTTGCTAACCTAAGCGCAATCTCCTATAACCCCAGTTCATTTATCTCTGGATACTACCCAACAGCACGCATAGCTATATTCTGGACTATTTGCGGCGACTTGGCTAACTGATATTTTGCTAATTGAATAATACAGCATTTGACAAGGCTGTGATTTCGGACCCGCCCTTTGAGACTGTTATTCACACAGCTAGTCCGTTCCACTTTAGAGCAAGTGACAATAAAGCCGAACTTCTCGATCCGGGTATGTAACGTCATATATACAGACAAAGAAATAATTTTGTCTTTGACTGCAGATATATAATTGCATATTGACTAAACCGGATTCCGCTGACATTGATTTTCTACACAACTACGCAGCTATCAATGGCACTGTTGGAATCCTCCGTGCCATCAAGCGAAGTGCGCCAACGGTCAAGCATGTAGTTATTACATCTTCCTTTGCTTCCATCATTGACGCCAATAAGCCTCCTACCTACACATATTCGGAGGTATATATATATAGCTTGCTATTGGTGTTCTCTCCGCTCCCTTGGTTGAATATGCCCTGACATTTTAATAGGCCGATTGGAATCCTATCACGGAGGCAGAAGCGCTTCTTAGCCCTATCCATGGTTATCGGGCAAGCAAAGCATTCGCTGTACGTCATGATAAAACCCCCGTTCAATCGGTGGCAATAGAAAAATAAAGATAAGAAACAGGAAAGACTAACTTAAGAATTATAGGAAAAAGCCGCCTGGGAATTTGTGGAAAAGGAGAAACCAACCTTCACCATCGCAACGGTATGCAAAACGGCCCCTTTGTTGCATGTGAAATCTACACCCTTTTGCTTCTATCAATTACCCGTTTACCACAGTTATAAAATTCCCCAATTGAACCGACCAACCAACCAACCACTTACCCTGGCACAGATAAACCCCCCCGTCGTCCTCGGCCCCGTCGTCCACCCTCTGGACTCCCTCGCTGCGCTCAACACTTCCAATGAACGCATCCGCGACCTGATCACAGGGACTGCGAAGAACTCATGTCCACCAACCGGCACCTACCTCTGGGTCGACGTCCGCGACGTGGCTCTCGCGCACGTCCTCGCTGCCGAAAAACAGAAAGAAGCCGCCAGCCAGCGCTTCTTCGTCACAGCGGGCAACTTTTGCAACCGGCAAATTGTCGAGATCATCTCTGAAGAATTTCCAGAGTTAAGGGAGAAGTTGCCGGTGGGAGATGCGTTGAAGCCTGGTGAGTTCCCAGCCGAGGGATATTTTGGGTATAATAATGCGAAGTCAAGAGAGGTGTTGGGGTTGGAGTATCGACCGTTGAGAGAGAGCGTGGTTGATACGGCGAAGAGCCTTTTGGCGATTCAGGGGTAGGGGCGTAACGGGATTGTTTCCGTGTTTTATGCAAATCTTGCAGCAGAAGGTCATGTGGTGTTTGGCATTGTCAAAGGGGTAAAATCCCTCCCAAGTAGTGAAAACTATCCTCGATAGATAGAATGATCCAGATCTCGCCCCTTCTTCAAAGGGGTGATATAAATGCATCTTGTTACAACTTCTGTTGCCCAGAATTTTGCACACTCTTATGTTGGAACATCTGATATATTATATTCGATTTTCGTCGAGCGATACACCATAGTTAGTGGAGGTTCTTTTCTAGAACGACTTTGTCTTCTAATTGTACATGTACAGCGTACTTGTATTAATAATTTGTTGTTACTGCTGTAGTTGCGGTACGTACTGTGTATACAGAAAACTTGACCTCGCTAAGTGCGCCACTTGACCTCGCAAATGTGGCCTGTGCCACTATCTGACCTCGCTCAATACATCTTTTCTTGTAATTTGAAACCACTTAATTATTTATCATCAATTCTACAATCAATTCAAAATCAATTTAAAATCAATTTAAAATCAATTTAATACTGAAATTATTCTTGAATTTAATAATAAAGTAAGTATTTATATAATTTACACTGAATTGATTATTAATTGATTTTCAATCAATTGTTAATTACTTAAATATATAGATTAAATTTATTTTTATTACTATAATTAATTAATAATCAATTCAAAATCAATTCAAAATCAATTTAAAATCAATTATTAAATATTTTTATCTTAATATATTTTATAAAACATCTCTTTATATTCTATATGAATTTATCTATTCATTTAATTGATTATGAATCAGTTATACATGCTTTTTGATTGATTGATGAGCTGAATGAATGAATGAATGAGTGAATTGAAAGATTGAAAGTCAATTATCAACTGATTATTACTGTATTGTGTGAGGTCAGGGTCATGATTATGTAACAAGGTCAAGTGGCGCACTTAGCGAGGTCAAGTTTTCTGCTTCCTGGTACGTACTAGAGAACAAGCTAGCAAGAAGCAAATGAAGATTAGAACAGAGTAATTCCGCGCCGAAGCCCAGCCCAGCCTAGTAGCGAACTTTAACGCGCGGGCTGCATGGAACTAGAACTCCCCCCTGTAAGATATACGCTGCGTAGATAGGGTAGTTCCACTCCAGAACATTTGACACAAAGATACCTGGTACTAGAGTGTCTGAAGGCGACTTAGTCTGTCGATTCCTGTGGGGGAAAGTAAATAGCCTCATCATCGCTCGGATTTATAGCTGGAAAATCCCTTGCATGATTCGAGCTTTGAAATCATGACACTTGGAAGCAATGCCAGCTAACGGAATGAGCTTCAGATTTGATCCGTGGATGGGGCATGTCCCCTCCCCGTCAGGAGTTGAGGAAAGTCGTATTTTTGCTTTCCTCGCCAGCGGCAAAGCCCATCTTGCGCCATGTGTCTCACTGCGCAGAGAAATAATGGAGAACGGAGTGACATGAGGGTAGTCACGCAAGGGCGTAAGGCGTGTCTCACCTCCGAACGAGAAGATGCTGAATATATTGCTCATTGCCATTCAGGATGGAATTCTAGCCGCGCTCAATTTCCCCAGATGCCCACCGCCATCCATTTTCTGGTAGATCTATGATAAGCGGATAAAACCATTTCCTAATATTTAGGAACTGGCCGCGATCCTTCTGGTCCTTAGAGAACATCTTGATGAGGGATTCTTTATGCATACAGATATTATATTTGTCGTTTAGTTCCTGCACGCAGTTGACTCGTTATTACATTTCATTGTGTGGGTTTTTTTTTTTTTTTTTTAGAAAGTTATACATTTCTGGTACTGTGCAATAGAATTTTATAATTTACTCACTTTCCTTTTAATATTTTCCGTGCATGTTGAAATGTTGAATGTCGCGTAAACGCGGGTATCTAGTTTAAATTAAGTATAGGGCCTGAGCAATATGGGAAAAGCCATTCGTTCCAAGGCCCCGAGCAAGCTGCAAGTGGTTGGGCCATTCTTGTTGCTGTCGAAGATCCTGAAGGAGTCTAGGCATATTATATAATTACTTTCCTTCGGAACTGCCCGATAACCACATGCGGCGAAGCATCTCTCTAATAATCGTGTTATAATAATATGCATTCCAATGGCTGGAAAGGCCAAAGGTGGAGTGGAGTGATCGAGGTGGTTTTGTGGCGTCATCAACCTGCATGATGGAACTAGGAAGAGGGGAAATAAAAAAGGAGAAAAGAGAAAAGAGAAAACAACACAAAAAATGGGAGAACATGGGGGAATTTACCATGAGGATGAGGAACACAAACCTGCAACAGGCCGGGATTGTGAATCGTATTTGATGGTACTCCGTTTCCGCCCTTTTTTAGTATATTTATAAATATTGTCTCCTAACAACAACCAACTTTGGTTCCCTGATAGTAGTAACACGACAACATTGGTTTACCTCCAACCTCAACTCCAACTCTCAGTCCGTCAATCCCCAATCCCACGCTGCACTTAAAGCTACGATGGACCCGATCAGCTACTTGATTGTAGGCGCCGGGTGTTTCGGTGCTTCCACTGCCCTTGCGCTCAAGAAAGCGAAACCGAACGCAATTGTCACATTGGTCGACCGCACCCCTTTTCCTTGCCCCTCTGCTGCAGCTCACGACTTGAACAAAATCATCCGAGCCGAATATGAAGATCCTATGTACATGCGTCTCGCTCTGGAGGCGCAGGAGCAGTGGCGCACCGACTCTGTGCTGAAATCATACTTCCATAAGACGGGTATCCTGTTTATTGGCATTGAGGCCCCTGGCAAAGCTGTCGTGAATTCCTACGAGCAGGTGCTTGGCAAAGGTAACTCTCCTGCAGTTCTCTTGGATCCGGAGGATGCCAAAGCTCGATTTGGCGGAATCTTTCGTGACGGCGATTGGACCGGAGTTACCAAGTGTACTTGGAATCCCCTGGCAGGGTGGGGTGATGCTGCAAATGCCCTGGGCGCTGTCATCCAGTCCGCGGTTGATATTGGGGTCAAATACATCCAAGCGACTGCTACGAAAGTCCAGTTTGACTCGAGCGGCAACTGTTCTGGAATTAGCACCCTGGAGGGCTCCCAGCTGTCTTCTGATAAGGTCCTTCTCTGCACCGGAGCTTACACCCCCTGGCTCCTGGCTGAAAGCGCCCCAGATCGTCCAGAGATTCAAGTCGGTGATCGAATGGTGGCGGCTGCCTCCATTATGTGTGCTTTTAATCTCCCCGAGGATCAAGTAGAGAAATTTAGCGATTGTCCCATTGTCGTGCACCCAATGGGTGAATATCCAGGTAGCCCGCTCCTGGATCCCCGTATTTAAAGATGACTTAACTAATATATTAAACGTACCAGCCGAATGCATTCCACAAAGTGGGCCAGGCTTCGTCAAATGCACAAACGAGCGGAGTTTCACCCATAAAGTTCTCCACGAAGCCTCCAAGCAGGACATTTCCGTACCACCCTCCCGTGTCACGCAGCAAACATGGTCGCAAGACGTACCTCAAGGACTGAAGGATGAGGTCAAAGCAGTGCGGGATAAACTCTTTGGTAGTTGGATAAATAATATGGAACCCAAGGATTATCGGATGTGCTGGTGAGGATCAAAATTCGAAAATGCCAAACATATCACTATCCACTTGTCTAACAGAACATGCTGCAGGGATGCCATCACCCCAAATCAGGACTGGATCATTTCACCACATCCCCATGTTCAGAACTTGTATATTGTAGCCGGCGGATCTTTCCATGCGTGGAAGTTCTTGCCTAACATTGGCAAGTATGTGGTCCAGATGATCGATGACCAGCTGGGAGACGAATTCGCAAAACGATGGGCGTGGGATAGACGCGATGAGGGCGGAAACTGCTCCAATTATATACCTACAAGAGACTTGAAGGACGTGTTGGGATATTCGAACGATCAAAAGTCGGGGGATTGCTGACTAGCATCATGCATGTAATTGGCTATATTAACTAGGTCAGCCTTTTTTGTCCAAGCAGAGGAAATGCTTTCCATGCCTCCCCTTCTTAATGTAGCATCGTATTTAAAGGGGAGTCAACCCAAATATCGCCTCTCATGAATTCGGGCTCTAGTTCTCAAAAAACGCCTTTGATCCCATTTTCCTTAAAATAATTCAAAATGTGTGCTTCAAAATCCTTGAGCCCGCAACAGCCCTCGTGGAATTTGAGATTCGCTTCCCTCTGTAGATGTAGAATGTTGGTTATAAGACATACATTTGTTCGTCCCAGTATCATATTCAGTGTGTAAATTTCGTCATTTAGTTTTATTTCCAAAAACGCCTTGCAGGAGTTCTCTGTTACAGCGTAAACGTGTGGTAACATGTATAGTAACTACATAGCTGGCCTTGGAATATTTAAAAAAGGAGGCTGAATAACAACACCAGCTTTAAAAATTGGACGACACAACAACGCTCTGTGGTCTTTGCTAGCATCACAAGCGCATATCAAATTCACAAGACTCAAGGATGCAAAACAATCTCATAATTAAAAAGAAAACTAATTTAAGAACGATACCAAGTCAATAACTATCGGAAACCCACTACCAAACAATATCCGTTTGCACTGTCTCATCTTCTACCTCGACAGTACTTTGGTTACAAACAGCATGATCAACAAAAGAATATCAAACAAACGAGACAAGATACTGGTCTGGAAAGATATCATTAGTTTTGAACACAAAATTTTTGACAGTCGAGAGAAATATTACAGTACTCACAAAATTCACCCAGAGGAGATGCCCACCAACCCTTTAGCATCATCCCACTCTTCTCAAACTGCAGCTTCATGATGTCAGGCCCATATTTCCAAGACTCAAAAAACTCGATAACCTCGCCTTTACCGACGTGTAGGCCGAGAGCTGGACAATCCACATCCCTAGTCGCAAGGAGACTAAATTTGTGATGTGGAGGGTCGTCCCTAATAACTCCGTTCAACACCCAATCTTCCGTCCTGTACCAAGGCTCCCCAAGAAGCTCGTTGGACTCCCTGAATCCATTGCGGATGAAGCTCTCCCAGACACCACCTTTGTCGTGGTACATCCTTTCCAGCTCCTCGCGCCCTCCTCGCGCATCCATCCCAATTAGCATCAGATCTTCAGGTCCCAGGACCTCTCGCCACGGTTGCATACGTTCCACGGCGAGATCGAAAGTGTCGTTTCCAAACATGGAACCCATTGAAAGGATGCATTTTGGCGTATTCACCGATCGAAGCCACTGGCGCCCATCTTCAAAGGTGCCCCAGAGCCCGTAGCATTGAACGTGCTGGTATTTATTGGCTAGATGCGACATGCTCCCCTCCAATGCATCTCGACTGATGTCAAGGGCAAAGTACGAAACGGAGATCTTGAGCGACTCTAACTGTTGCAAGAGGCAAGCAGGCTTCCGGATGTCTCTGTCGCTCAGATTAATTGGTGTTCTGTTCTGTCCCTTGACAACGGGATACTATGGAGAGGTTATATGATGGCCAAGTACGTACCCAGAACCCATGTCTACAATGGTACACCCCGGAGGTATCTCTCTGCAGATGGAAGCGCCGTGGTGCTCCAAGAGACTGATCTCGTCTCGAGTTTGGTGGTAATCGGCGAGCCAGCAGACCTGGTTCCAGAGCTGGAGCCCCAATCCGAAGTAGAAAAGCTCCGTGGGAAAGGAACGTATCGATTCTCCGTCACTCGAAATAAACTCTTCTTTCAGCTTCAACTTGAGACTGTCCCCGAGTCCGCTGCCCCCGATGTCGAGAACATCTCCTAATTTCAAGGAAGACTGCATGTTTGAAAAGATCTTTAATGGAAATGAGTGGAGATCTTGTCTTGGTTGTATATCGCAAAGATGAAGAATTTGTCCCAATATAATTATATCCTCAATGATATTGTCTGTCCATAGGAACCAAAACCCATTACCCCAGAGGCGGCGGGGACGAAGGCTTTATATGCTCTGAGAAACGGCGCCCGAAGGGCTCCATCCGCAATTCAAAACCTCAGCCATCTCAGTAAAAGATCGCGCTCTGCTCATACAGGGCTTGTTTACCCAATACTTCCAATCTCGGATCCCTCAGATCAGGGCGAGTTGCAGCAACATCACAACCACAAGATATTTGAGCGTCTGTCAAACTAAGCCTCAACTAGGGAAGGCTGGCCAATTAAGCCCTGACTTTGCTCTTAGTCTTGTCTTCTCCTCCCTTTCCTGGAGAGGACAGAAGAGATGATAAGTTTAGGAAGGGCAGATTTTTGCCTCGTTGAGGCTTTATGTTTTCTCCTTCCTCGTTCTGTCCAAGTTGGGAGTATGGTCCAGTATTACGCCCAAAGGGGCTCACGAACGGGTGTCACCTAAGTATTTCCAGATTCGGCTGCCCTGTGAACCTATTCAGTGTCAGAATTTCTTTTTGAAGTTTAGCAGCAGGGGGGTGCTATGCTGTATGCTACTTGGTGTCCCATGTTGGGCTGTGCGGAATATCGACTTGAGGTTTGGATGCCCTACGGGGAACATAATATCGGGAAATATCTGATACTCCCCTTGCTAGAACAATTGAGAGACTCATAAAACTACAGATCGTTGGAAACACATGAGCTCTGTGAATATCTGGTCTTCAATATTAAGCCTAATATCTACGTGTGTACTTCTCTTCACAATTTATTGCATTACAATATGATGACGATCCTCCAGCATATAATCCTAGGTCAAACTCACCCACCCTACCTTCTCGAGAAGATACGTTACCATATCCTCCCACCACGCCCTCCTCTCTCCAATAGCGATAGTATTATCAAAATTTTCTTCGTCCACAAGTTCTGTGTCCATCCACTTCCACAATGCCTGGACAGCTTCCCAGACTGGTGGTACGCTCTGTAAACTGTAGTCAGTAATCGATCCTGTCAGATATAGGGACATGATGGGCAATGTCCAAGGTGTAATATAACTCCTGAGAGAAGAGAAAATGTCAAAGTGACAAAACGGCAAAACGGCGGCAGGAGTACGAAATATGAAATATAGTTTGATGGAAACCCACCGATCGACAGCTGGCAGCTAAAAGAACCGTCTCGAACCAATTTCTTGCTACATCTCGGTCATCTTGCTGGTATGAAACTAGTGACATGATAAAAATGCAGAAGAACGGAGCCTGGGAGGTGAAGAGTACCCCGTTGTAGGGCATTCGCTGCACACATGTCATAAGAATCTTCAGTGCCGCGCGAACATCAGGGTGGCAACGCGGTTTCCTGCGTTCTGTCAGTCTTCCTATTTTAACTCGAATTAGGGGTAAAGGGCATTATAGAAGGAGGTTATTGCTAGTCTCCCACCTGAAGAAGCGACAGTGTAAATATATTTTTGCCGCGCAAACCCACGTCTCACCAGTCAACTCGGTGACTTTAGTTGCAGTATATACCTTCCCATCAGCGTCGAGGACACAGGATTCAAGGAGTGCAGCTGTGGTAGCATATCCTTCTGAAAGCTCAGACCTCTGACGGAAGTTATGCAACATTTCCTCGATTTTTAACGCGCCAATTGGCGTAACGACTGACTGAGGGTTCTTTACGTGCAGGTTAGTTAACTTCCCATTGCATCTCCTAGGCACAAAAGCGGGGATGCAGATACAGACTTTCATCATTCTCGCAGATAAATGCGTTATCTGGGCAAAAATGTGCAGTAGTTTTGGTGAGAGCCCAGTGCCTCCATGAATGGTGCGAACCTCCTTTTCGGTGCCCTCCAGCAACCATCCAAAATGGCGATCGTTTTCTCGTAGCTGGAGGGGTGTAACGGGTTCCGCAAGAACACATGCCAGCGAGGCCCAGTTGGCATTGGCAAGCCAGGCTTTATCACACTGAACATTAGTAGCCTTCCAGTAGCGGTAACCGGGGTCGGAATGATCGAGGATGGCCTTGGCCAGGTGCGCCCCATTATACCAGTTTGGGGTTTTCCCTTTAGGTTTCCGGAGCTCCCAGTTAACGCACTGCACGGAACTGACTTAGCGAGATATTCAAGATTCTTAATGAAGGGTTATACAGGAAAGGATAGGAAGAAATTGGTTCCTACATCATCAACAAGTAGCAGCAATATGGCTGCGACAATGCCGTCTGATTTTGAAACAGCATGTGTTTCCGGCGTAGAGAGACCTGCTGTGATCAATTCTGATGCCTTGCGATAATGGGCATTTGTTCGCTTTCGCAAATCATCCTTATGCACATAATCAAGTACATAGCCTCCCACTAGAGCGAGAATAGCGTGCTTAACGGCATCCTCAGCTGCGATCATCGATGCAATCTCCGTGAGCCAGAAATTCGTTTGTGACAGAAGCGTCCGACCTTGGCAGTAGGCGACTAAATCTGTCAGAGGTTAGTATAGGAAGCACACAAGCAAGCACCTTAACCCAAGTTACGCTTACAGAATTTAAGAAGTTTCCCATCGACTGCGTCCAATTTTACGCCGCTGGCAAAGTTCGGAGGCAAATAGGGGATATTGTTGAACAGGGAATTAGCTTCGGAGGTGTTTCGATGATGCACTCCCATACAGCTCGCCCCAAAGCTCCTCTTTGCTGTTTTAACACAGCTCTCATCCAAATCAGCATTTCGAATGCGGAACTTGATGTACCCGTTGACGCTGCCGTCCTCCGGTGTGAGTATTTGCTTACGCAGAGTCTCATGTCGGGATGTTGCATTGTCTGAGTAGGGGTTCTCGAGGGAGAGGTTAATAAAGCGGTCTTCTAGGGAGGGTATATCTGGATACAACACTTGCTGCAACCAGTCTCGTGCCGCAGTATCGAAATCGTTTATGAGTTGGTCATCCGAGAGAAAACTCGGCGTCGGTGGTAGCCAAGTGGAAATATCGAGCGCTGATGCCATGTAGTCATTGTCCCAGGTAGGCTGTTCGTCAGGGAGCGGGAGTAACGCAATGTTCGGCATATCAATAGCGAACATGGAACGGTCATCCCAAAGGCTTTGGTCTTCATCCTGCTCCTGCTCATTTTCTTCACCCTGTCTATGGCGAATCCGTCCGGGCTTCTCGACACGGGAGGGGTCACTAAACGGGCCTGGAGGTTCATTCAAGCGGTGCCGTTTCTGGCCTCGTCGATGGTACATGCTTACTCACGTCTCAGAAACTAACCAAATTGGCAGTGCTTGTTCAGGACTAGGTTCTGTTATGAGATAGTGAGATTAGAGCTGGCTGGAAGAGCGGTGGTGAGGTCAGTGGATTTGCCCTTTATCTACGGGATTAGAGTACGGGTAGTTGTTTGAAGTCCATGGCCGCTATCACGAAAAGAACAAGGCGAAGAAGAGCGAGTTGGGCTGGTGATTCTAACTGGTCGTCAGCCTTGTCAACCCATCACGCATGCGGACCCAGGGCATTAGAGGCGTCCTTTCAAGCCAAAGAGAAGAACGAATGGCTGCCAGGAGCTTCTGACGAGACAAACCCCGCTTGGTGGCTGGTTGACCACCTCACACTTGAATATTCAAAGACTCGTTTTCAGCCTCATATCCCTCTTCTTGACGAGGCTAGCTTCAGTCGCTTCTCGTCTCATCTCGTTCTCTCTTCTCTCCTCCATCTTCCCTCTTCTCTTCTCTTCTCTCTCCTCTCTTTTTCTTCTTCTCTCCTTTTGTGTGTTGTGCTAAGACTAGTCCTGCAGCAAAGGCTACTCGTGCATCCAATCTCAGAAAAGCAAATAGAAAATCTCCCCTGGTGTCCCCTTCCGGAAAATCTCACCATGCCGGATCCCTTTTCGCCGCAAGGTATCCCGGATATAGCCTTTGTCGAATTACTTGAAGACCGACGGGGACAGCTCGGTTTTGTTGCTGCAGACTGGCCGGACTCACGTTGTCTACTAGCAGACATAGGGGAGTACCTAGTCCGGTCTGCGGTGATATTGTCGCACCTGGCCAAGGACCTGGCCGATGGCCATCATATAAAGACCTACGCGATTCAGACAATCAATGACATGAAAGAGACCACTGACTTCTCTGATCTTGATCCTCTGGATTACTTTGATTCAAAACATTCATCGCTCAAGTGAGTTCGCTAGACCATTGCTTTCCTGGGCATTTAAAAGTATGGTTTCCCGCTGATTCGATGTATACAGGGAGCTCGCCTCGCAGCTGGAAGGAATGGCGAATGATATTCAATCACGGTGGAAACAAAGCCAAAAGCCTCCAGAGCTCTCATCCCGTCGCCAAAAACGCCCCGCACAGGGACAAATCTCTGGAGCTACGGCAGACCCAATGGACGAGGTTACAAATTATTCTGGTGACGTCATTCAGACGGGAACTGGGGCTGCACGGCATCGAATCCGCAACTCAGATGGGAGGCCGGAGTCTCCCCCCTTCGATGACGCTATAAACGACACTATCCAAGATCTTTTAAAATCGCTAGTATCCCGTGGAAAGGGGGACCATTTTTGTCCGCTCGGTCATCGCTGCCGGAAAGGGGGGGTTGATGGCAATGGTGAAATTGTGAATTTTGAGAGAAATTCTGTTTTCAGGCATGTATTAGCTTTTATTTTGTATATTGAAAGTTAACATATTCTGTTCCTGACACAAGTTGGCTTCTTTAGGTCGCATTTGGAGAAGCACCAAAAGTTGTACAAGTGTGAGCTGCCTGGGTGCAGAAACCACAAAGGCTTTGCGAGGAAAGATCAGCTTCAGCGGCATCAGGAGAATGTCGCACATAATGCCATGTAGGTAATAGACAGTCTCCAGTGAACCTGAGTTCTACACTCATTTTCAATTATCCTCTTCATTAAATCGGATTTTCCTGTATGAACATGTTGCCTGAGCTTTTCCTCACCGCCACAAGGACATGAACCTAAATCGTACAGCAATAAATGTTCAATATAAATGGGCCCTGGTGTGTTTCCTGGTGTGTTTAGCTAGAGGAGAGGAAATGATACCCGTGGAAGGCGCATTTGCGTATTGAATTGCAAGTCTCGAATTGTTCGCAAGATATGAAGCGCAGGCCAATTGCTCACCCAGACGATATGCAGGCAGCATGCTTCCTTGGGGCCGCTGATTTGGAGAATAATTGCATCGGAATCATGTAAGCATCACGGAGACTTCTATTGTAAACCCGGGGAAACCGATAATCCACGGGAGTTGGATATCTTGTTAGCTACCGTAGTAAACGGTTTTTCAATAGATTTGTGTACGAGATGCGAGTGGGCGCGGCCGTATCTCATAAACTAGCCAGCCATGTATTTTTCTCAAATAACACGAGATTTCCGCACAGCGTGGGATTTCCTTCTCATGTTTAACAAGAATCAAACGCTCGCTTACGCTCGCTTTGCTGCTTGCGCAGCCCCCTCTATCACTTCCACCCCCTACCCCTACACCCCCCCCTTACCGCCCCTACCACCCCTTCCACCCCCGTATCAACCCTATCGCTATTATCAGATTAATCAGAGCCGTACAGGCCACAGAGCTGGCTGTTCAATCCCATCCATGAATTCGAAGGGGTGCACATCATGTTACAGGGCATTTAGCAGCGCATGCCATGAACACAGAGATCAAAAATGAACATAGAGAAGAGTATAAGGAATGTAAATACTGTAGAGAATGTATGAAAAGAGCAGAATGAAAAAAAAAGATTGAAGATTTGAAGATTGATCTGAGCTGTATGGGCTGGAGAGCAGAGCTGAGCATTCAAATATTTTTGATGAGGTGCACGTGATGTCACATTACAGTGATTTTTGCAAAGTTGGTTTTTCTATAATAAATAGAGAGAGAGAGAAAATAGAGAGATGTTCAGTTCGTTCATTGGCCGTTATTCTCAAGTTAGCGGGAGATAAACAGGGGGATAACGAACAGAAGAAATTATCGTTGGAAAAAAAAAAAAATTATGCCGGAATCTTCTCCCCGGCTTGCCCTGAGGATGATATTTTTAGACCAGCATACGCTGCGTATGGGGCTAGCCAGGGTAGCTACAAACCTCGAGACGGATAGTGTATCTCTCACCTCGTCCTAACGAATCGGATGATGTTGACCTTCTTCCAATTTGAGAGTTTCGTCAACTTCTCAAATAATTGATTTTCCTAAAACACCCAGGAGAGCTTGACAACCTAAACCCTGTTTCAACCAATTGGATGGATACGAACAGAGCCGGAAAGCGGGCAAATGAGTTCCTGAGGCCTGAAGGCATAAGGGTCAAATATCCATCTGGATTACTCATATCGAAGCGCAGCTATGTGTCCATATGGCATATATGCTAGATACAACCCAGCCGGTTTGCCTAAACATTCTCCGTAGACTCGCGGCCTCACCCACTAGCTTCTTTGGCTCGTTCGTAAAATTCTTTGGCACCGGATCCTGGCAGTGTGGGTAGTGGGGTCAACATGGTTAGTTCCAGGCATCTGGGGAATAAGTACGCTTAGGCGAGAGCGTTGCATATTGCCCCTGAAACCATGCATATTTCCCCTTTCTTTTTCTCTCCCAGCTAGACGAACGACAGAGCCTCTTGAGCAGAAGCATGGAGAAAAAGCATAAAATTAAAAATTAAATCCGGCGAAAACTGCCCAGAAAGAGAGAATATCAGGCGGTTTGATTTTCAACTTGCTTTGGAAGGCTGCCCCTCAGATAGGGACTGTTTTCGAATTGTTCTACTCCTTGGGGGATTGACTGCGGATAATCTCCGTCGACTCTCCTTTTCCTCTCATCCTCGGACAATATTCTCAACTCGGGGACCCTGGAACCTTGGAAATCTGACAGATAAACATATGAAGAGGGGACGATGCCCGAGGAACATCGGAGGTCTGGCGAGTGGGCTGACACTCACCCTTTTTCAGGGAATGATCTTCACAGCTGAAGCCGCTGGAGGAACCAATAGTCCAAAACCTGGGAGCATTGTGCTCGCAGGAGCAAACACTAGCTAGCAGCTATTATTACTGAGCAGCGCTAGCAGCCACCAGAACTCCCAATGGGGGGTCGCACAAGTGATCATTTATTAGACGCGAGGGAAAGAGTGAAAGAATAATAGAAGCATCAAGCCACAGATCATATTGCGCTGTAGAGAGTAACGATGTTTAAAGTGTTCTGTTGTCTAGCCGTTATGAACTCTATCAGTCAACCTTGACCCAAGCAACAAGTTTACCTAGGTACCTAGGTAGGGCAATCAACATCACATGACTTGTAACCTCCAACCAACCCAACCCCTTAAAAACATGCCCCACAAATTTCTGAGCTGTCCATTCTGCATGAACGGAGTGGGTGGTGTTGCAGCTGTTGGCCTTTAGCCTGAAATTAACCCCTGTCTCCAAAATCCTGCATGATTGGGGTGCCGGACCGTTTCTCCCAGGTCTGGCCAAGGTTGGCCGGTGGGGTTTTGTAAGTGACTTGAGCCTGGAGCGCGCAACTCTGACATAGAGCTGATGCAAAATAATATGCGCCGTGCTGACCGTACTCCAGAGATAACAATCAACTTCAGATGATGTTATGCTTCAGTGTGTAACACTCTTGACTAGCGGTTTCTCTCTGTTAGAGGACGGAGTGGAGAGCTTGGCCATTAATTGAGAAACATTATAAGATAGCAATGACGGAATGATAGAGCTATGACGAAGTACTGTACATGTACTATACATGCACCTTGATGTACCGTGCACGTTTGCGTCTAAGACCTACTATTACATCGGCTTCTACAGTGCACTCACATCTTCCACCAACATAATGCAACCACTCATGCAATTAGAACAATGATGAATACCTTTGGGCATATCACACAATCTTCAAGGGGTTGAGACTAGTTTGCCCAGCAGCGCCTTTTCAGCATGAACCAGACAGGCGGAACCTTGTCGTCAATTCAGAGGCCGAGAAAATCATGCAATGTTCGGTACCTTGTACGTGTGTGCCGGACAGGACAGGATGCCGAGCAATAGTCCGAATCCAAGTGCTAGTATCTCCCAAACCATGCGTCCAGCACGAGCCAAAGGTTGAGCGGGGTAGCTAGTGGCAAGTCGGGAGACCCAGCTCGGTGCGTGGGACTTCCCACTCGTGTGCAGAATCAGCCCCTATAAGCATCCAGACACCAGGTCCATTGTCCGTTTTTTTCGCCCTCGTTTGTCCTTCTTTCCACTTCGAACGACATACACACCCGTCCGTCATTGTTAAATTTAGACGTTTGATACCCTACGGTTTGGCGATCATATCGAACCAAAGCATATCTAATCGACACTGATCGCCCATGTCAACAGCGTGTGAGATGGAGTGTCTAGCATACTATTTCCAAATCGCCTGAGTTCTTTCAATCAGCCTCAACCCGACAGAATCCTACCTTTTCACCTCTGCCATATAACTGATACTCAAATTAATAACTTATCCTCCTGATATTTTACTTAGTTTCATTCGCTCCTTATCTCTCCGTTTGCACTCCTGCGTCGATTTCATCTTAACTTACAAGCTTCATTGAATCGACTGCATATTTTGCCCGTGCTGATGCCATGACGCAAGTCGACTACTATCAGCTTTGATTCTATGATCAGAGGAAGCAGCTGCCATGCGCGGGTATCTCCCTCCCACCAAGCGAAGCGATGATGTGGGCCGCCCCGACGATAACCCAGATGCCTTGGTCCTCGAAGGTTGGGCACAGGGCTTCATGGTGGGAACCCTGGTGTTTATGGCTGCTATCACGATCGCAAACATGCGCCGTAAAGCCCTTCTACATAAATTGATCCTAGCTGAGGTACGTTACGTACATTTCAATGGCAGACTTCCCGCATTCTTGGAATTCATCATGATTAACAAAATTGTCCTCCAAAGTTAATCCTCGGCATGGCGCATGGCACATGGATCTTTGCGCATGAGCCGGTATATGGCTGGTACCTCTCCACTACTGCAATTGGACTCAATATGTCGTGGAGTCTTCACAACGTTATCTCCTGGATGAAAAACAGGCCGTTCCTCAGCAAGAACGTCAGCAGATTCTACATCGGCACGGTCATCCTTGTACAACCGTACTGGATCCTCGAAATATACGCCAACTTCACGTATTTCAACCGCATTAATGACTTATTCCTGAAAACCAGACCCTTTGAAACTCTCTTCCGGTGAGCATCTGGCTAAGATATATATCCCGCCTCCACCCTACCTGCATATACGATTGGTGGCAAGAGCTGGAAGAATGAATAGGCTGACTCTCAGTTTCCAGTGATCCCTGGTGGATATATACTACATGCAATCTCTTCTATGTCATAAAGTCTGAGTATTCGTTTACCTACGTCGAGCTCGTTCGTAACAGCCCTCGTTTTGGCGTAATGCTAGCGGCTATGTGTCTCTCAATCGTATTTCTTATTGTCGACCTTCTCTCCGTCCTTCACGTTTTTGAAGGATCCTTGCCCACGGGTGTTAATCCGTTTTGGAAGGTTAGGACAAATCTACTGCGAAGCCCGGATTGAACACACTCAAAAAAAAAAAAAAAAAAAAGAAAAAAAAGAAAAAAAAAAGAAAAAAAAATCATCGCTAATTGCACCACATCTAAATAGTTGTCCTTTGTCTTTAAATGTCTCTGCGATACCGTTATTCTCGATGATTTCAAAACTGCCCTCGACCGCCTTCGTGACTACTGGTTGCTCAAAAACGGCACGGCAGATCAACTCAGTTATGCTCAAGATCGGCAAACTCCGCGAACTCCTCGAACTCCACGAACTCCGCGATCGCGGTCTCCACTGCGAAGACATGATTTCAGCCGCGGCCCTGGTACTATCAAGAAGCCTGATGCCATAGCAAGCAGGGAAGGCAGTTTCAGTTATCCATTACAACATAGTAGGAATTTTAGCCATCCGACTAGAGACAAGAATCCTTTCCAAGAAGAAGCGTGACGGGGGGTTTTAATTATGAGAATCTTTCCTTTCAAAATTATTTATTATATTCTTTGTTAATAGTTTCCACTTGTCTAGTGATTTTCATTTATGTTTTTATTTTTTTATTTTTTTATATGATGGTTTAAAATACCCAGTTTTACTTCTTCATTTTCGTCATATGTACTCTGTACTGTACTGTACGATCCCAGCCCTACCGGTCCAAGATGCCTGCCAGGACCAGTTATAGGCTAGGGATTATTATTATATTTCAAAGAAGGGAAAAAGCATGCATAAAAGTCTGTTGTGAATTTTGCACCTGTATCAATAGGTTCACGTCTACAGATTTGTACTATAAGGAGGAATGTCAGCCGCTACTATTCAAGCATTTTTCTTACAGTTCCCTTGCCGCAAAATAATGGCTCCAGGCTTGTAATGTAATGTACTGCACGTACCATTTCCAGCCCTCAACCAAGACACCAGTTGCATAACGAAGTATAATATAAATCGCATATATTCGTAAGGAACAGAGCATAAATGATGGAAACATGCGTACCGGCCTAGGATTGAATGCTTCCGTGTTGTCGAAGTTTTGCAGTCCAGAGAGATCACCAGTTAAGCGATACATAAGCCCCTTAATTTATTCTCATATATTGTAAACATTAATGGCTGGTAGCCTTGCCTTTTCATATCAGACTCGTGTAGCTACTTCGCATTTTCCGCACTGTTTCAGTGTGCAGTTGATGGGTTTGCCCCTTGGTTTTTGAGACTCCTTGTGTACGGCCCTGCTCACTTTCATCCCATTGATCGGTCGGAACAAGTTGGCAGCAATCATTCTTCGCACCTCCTGTTTCATGTGAGGGGGGTGATAGAGCGCTTGCTATGGTTGGCGATTCAACCCCCACAATATCCCCGAATTGTTCCAAAGGCATCGGGAACAAATGTGACTGCGAGCCACGAATCGTTGATAGAGATATAAGAATCCCCCAAAGAAGCTCTTTTGTATCAACTATTGACGCGGCTACGTGTGTAGCGGTTGCAGGTCGCATTCTGCGTGTAGCATCGGCAACGCAAATGCCCAAATTCGAAGAGCTTTTGCTCCTGAAAGGATGGCACAATTAGCAACTGGAGAGAGGCAGGTACGGGAATAGTTTACGGAGGTGACGGACCATTCCGATGCCGTGGGAATCTACCGCGGCTTGAGACACTGCATACACAACCTCCATCGCCGACTTTCCTGCCTTGATGGGGACATGTGGCGGAATGATCTCTTGTATCGCAGGTGATTTCCCCAGGGACAATTGGGTTTGGAAGCTTCCACATTGCCGTCCGGAGCCACTGCTGTGTGACGAGAATGTCAACTTGTTGGGTCTCCAAGACCCCCTCTAGGGATATAGGGGAACTCAAATCGCGCAGAATCACGTTAACAAGCGCCTGCCCAGATAACTCATCTCCTTGTCGAAAAGTAATCCAGTCATATAGGTCCGGTGGAAACTTCTCGAAGAGGTTAATTAGGTTCAAAAACCCATAAGCAAGGATGGGATCATCCCCGCCGAAGATTTCCGGTTTTCGTATCGAATTTCTTAAAATAACAGGTTTGGTTTGCTGAAGCGCATATGCCTTGGTAGACTTGAAGTGTTAGCTAGGGCGACTCATTCAAAGGCATGGCTATATATTGCACCCAAAGTCACCTTTCCGTAACGAAAAGCAACCAGAATACCCTCCGTCTCTCTTCTGCTTCGATAGCGTCAAATGCGCGGTAGGATGACTCTTGATGCAACCCTAATGTATGAGCCATGAAAAGTGCTTGGCAAAGGTAGTACCATGCATGGTCTTGCTTATCCAAATTTCCGTAGGAGGCTAAGAGGTAGAATGATGTGAGGAGACTGTCGATACTTGGAGACTCGATCAGGTCATAATCTGACCGTGCTCGTAGAGCTTCAGATAGCAGGCCCTCTCCTGATATGAGAGTTCCGTCGTGCACGGTCGTTATGCCTGCGTCCGGCCGGTCATGGAGCGCGGGTCCGTCGAGTTTCAGTTGGATATGCGTTGCTGCACATAGAGCGACAAGTAAGGCATATCGCTGTGGGCTTAGACATTCTGGCTCGCTGCTGTCCGCAAGCACCTGGTCTGGCGCGATGACAGGCATAATAGGGAATAGATACTTTAGATACACGTTCACGTGAGCAAGAATAACCAGAGGGGATAAACGAGTAGGAGCCAGTTGTAGGTTAGAGGTATCATTCCAGCTAGAATCATCGGTAGATATCATAGATCCGGGTAAGAGGAACGGCGGCGCAAATTGATGGGTGAGACTACAGTCAAAATCCCCTGAGAGAGCTGAGTTAGGTGGTGTAGGGAAAAAATATGACCTGGGTGATTGATCGCCAATAGAGCTAGCGGAAGAACGTGGGTAAATAGTGCGAAATTTCGGTCCCTTCCGTTGTAGAACGTCTGTATAAGCACAACGGAGAAGCGCACTCTGACACCTATCGCATGGATATAAACGATTGCATTTGAGTTTGCGGCGGCGGCAGTTATCGCAAACCTGCTTCATTGGGGTGGTTGCGTCTATTGCCTCCATATTAGCACTGCTCAAAAGAGGTACTGTTGGGATAACTCGAAAGATGATGGAGATGTTTCAAGAAAGGGGAAGCTCGCAGGAGTTATAAGCACCATCTGTCAGACGGTGAGGTATCGTATCCTTCCGTTTCTAATCTATTTCACGCGGGTAAGTTAAATGAATAGGCGAGAGGCTATAACATCTCATCTCCACTAGCTACTTTGACCGGATCAGCGTCCTCCCCGTGCTTATTTCTAGGAGGGAGGGGGGCCGTATTTGGGCGGAGGGACTTCTATGATGGGCGATAACCCAGCATGAAGGCTTAACTCCCCCACTAGCGCCATCTTGTGTTTGGTCAAGCGTCGGTAAAAGAAGCTTTCAAGAAGGTTGTAACTAGCGGCTGAGGCTTGCACTTGAGACAGGGATATCCCTCGTAGACATACTGCGTAACTGATCGATATTCATGGAGAAGTAGGCTGGAAATTCATGCGAAAAATTTCACATGAGAAAAATTTTTGCGCCCACTCTCGAAAGGAAGCATTGCAAGATTGGTTTGCTGCTACAGAGCTCCTACTTTGCTCTGTACGGGGGGTCTTCAACTAAACCAGTGCTGTGCCGCCTTCAAATGTTGAATTTAAATTGGCGCAATCCACCTGCATTCCAAATGTGAATTGTGTACTCCGTACTGTGTAAGTCGAAAGGCAAGGCCCACTTAAATATGGGCATAACAGCTCCTTCGGACGTAGCGCCCGCAGGGATGCAAACTTTAACTTAAGGAATCAATCAATCAATCAAGCTCCTTCGGACACAACCGCCTGGCCCCATAACAAAAACAAGCAGTTGAACATGTGCTTTTGGCATTGCCGGTCTCCGCCAGCCAACATCGGTCTTATCAAAATTATTTCTGGCAGTAGAACCCGAGGCTGCTGCGTTATTCGCCAGCAAAACGCCGCTGAATAAGAATCAAGATCTGGGTATCCTAAAAATACTCCCTGGTACTAGAGGGACCGTGATTCATGCTGGTGTACACTCTCCTAAACTCTCGACCAGGATCCCACTGACACTAGTTAACATTCATTGCTGGGCATTGATGTCGCATAATTCCTCAATTTCAATAAACCTAAGAGGTGCCGCTGGGCCTTGAGGTACAGAGCACTTCCACAAAATTGGAAACTAAGCCTGAGTGTGTCAGTAAATAGTAGATTCATGCTGTTTAGATGATCATTGCCTCCATCTGAAAGAAAGCTAGTGTGGGTATTCTGTCACATAATCGTATAATTTACCGACATGGGTCAAATCCGGGGTATTACCTCCCACAATTAATCAGAAGTCGAGGGGATCCAGGGGGTAAACGACAGAGCCACAATATCGATCACACTCTGGGCGGGTATAAAATGAGCAAGTCAAGAATAAAACACGGTTTACCATTGACAACCGTACTCTCAAGGCCAGAATTTGTCGCATGGAAATTGGAATATGTCAAAAATTCCCGGTGTTACTTCTAAGAGGATGACGGCTTCCATTCCTCCGATATAAATTTGGGATCTGGATGTACTCCAGCGGAAATGGATAGGCTGATTCGGAAGATTATTAGCATACCTGCTGTAATATACAGCTCAGGAGATATGCTGACTCGGTAATCATGATTTGCTATCAGTCCCCATGCATGTTTTGCCATCTGGCCCCCTCTATCCATTTTCTCGCTTTCCATGGAGTTCAGCCAACAAATTTCGTCGAGCCTTTATGGGGTTAGCTCGGTCAACAACCAAGCCTGGATCCCCCTATCGCACTATGGTCTTGTATTTCAACCACGTCGAGATGTAGCTAAACTCTAGGGTTTCGAGCCCTGGAACGTTGTGTCGTTCCATATCGAAACAAGCAGGGTCGCAGGCTAGTCTTTCAGAGTTTGAGACCCAAAGCCACATAACCTAGAGCAATAGAAATTGTTTCCTTCAAGTAATCATATTAAAATATCCGTCGCCTAACTCATACGGATTAGATTTCTTCTATTTTTCTGTGGGTTGAGGCTGGCTGGAATATCGTGTGCCCTCCTTTCATCTGTAGCGGTCACAAGGGGTTCATGCATTTTCATAGGGAAAAGTCTAGGACTCACCATCTCAATCATCGAAGTGTGCCGCCAAACAGAGTACACATCAGCGAGAATGCCTGAAACAGGGAATTGCTCGGTGGCTTATCTCTGGGGTACAGTAGGTCCTTGCACTAAACATGTCCCATCTCCGATGAGCGCATTGCCGGAGATCTTCGGGCTAGGGGGTCTGACGTGAACATTTCGGAGGAGTCCACTGCATCATCACACCTGTTCACACCTGTTGACACCTGTAATATCTGTTTTCGGGCGGCGTATATACACCTGCATGGGTTGAAGAAGAGCCATGGGAAGGGAGGGAAACAGTTGCTAGCGGCCCGTGGGAGCTTCGTCAATCAGATATTGAAGAAACTTTTGGCGATGGCCGATAATAATCTGCAATGACACGAAATTAGTCCTCAAACGGGTCAGGAAGAGAGGGTTGACCGGGATCACCAAAATCATCGAACTAACAAAAAGAAACAATAATGAGAAAGACGAAGTCAGGGCGTGTTCAGTTTGCATGTTTAACCTCATACAAGCTCTTATAAGAGACTCGCACAACCTTACACACCCTACTATTCAACATTCTCTGCATGAAAAAGGCCTTGCATTCAAGTCTGCCATTCTTATATTCCTTTTTTTCCCCTTCACATACACAGGATTAGGCTTCAATCATGCAATATTAAACTTCAATAAAGTATTTAGACTGAATAGTGAGGGGTTGTGACTAACATAGATAAGATGAGGGGCATGGCACTAAAAATAAAATAATATTCACTCTTCACATGCAGGTTATATAAGAAGTTAACAACTGGGAAAGAAAAGAAAAAATAAAAAAATGAAAAAGAAATTCTCAAAAAAACTCCCCGACAGGGAATCGAACCCTGGTCTCCCGCGCTCGGCACGTAAATGACAAGCGGAAATCATGACCACTAGACCATCGAGGATATTTGTTGGTGTTGGAAGCCCGCCAAGCGTTAAATAAAATCATTCCTATCGATACGGCGGATTATTATTCATTATTGCATCCATCCCCAATCCTAGTGTTTGTTTATTCCCATTTCCTCTCCCTCCAGGCCGAACATTTCAGTCGTCTTCAGCGTCATGATACCCTGTATCCTTCGATCTGTATATATTCACTCTCGTACAAGCAACGTTTATTTGCCCCGGCCACGGCATTTTACTATGGCAAGCCCCAACCTAGACAACCTACCCATACAGCCGAAATACGCATCTACCCTGCCTGATGAAACGAAGCAATTAGCAACCGAGACGAACTCGCTACTTAACAGTAACTGGTCTCTCGATGAAGAGCAGATGGGCTTAAAAAAGACGTTCTATTTTAAAACATACACAAAATGCCAGGTCAGTGATACATGCAGCCGCGCCGGGCATCAGGAGCTCTCGGCATATTTCTGCGTTGTCCCTTTAATGCTCCATTTTCCCTCTCAAGAATTTTATAATTATAATTATTATTTCCTTATTTTGCTAACAATTGTTTTATAGGACTTTTTCAACATGGTCGCGATTAGGAGTAAATCGGCAAACCACCATTCGACAATGACAGTTGTGAGAAATTGCTACCTCCGTTGCCGCCTCTTCCTTACCTTCCCTATCCCAATCAGCCAATACCCATCCTATCAGAAACCTTACTGACTCCTCCTATCCTTTTCTAATATTCTAGAAATTCCGTTCTGTTCATATACATTGGACAACTCACAGTCCACCTGGCCTCTCCGCAAAGGACACCTTGATGGCACAGTACTGCGACGAGCAAGCTAAGATGCTAGGCGCCGTGGATCAAAGTGAAGTTCAGACGTGCGCTTGAACGCCTATTCCAGAGTCCTGGGGAATACATTGGGCGAAATGAGGTGGCATTTCGTATTTTGAATTTTCATCTACTCGCAATGGACGATGGGATGTTAAAAGGCGGCTAGATGAGCGAGCAGGTTATTGGCAAAACTTGGCTTGGTGCTGCACACCCCCCAGAGAACGGGAACAAACTATGAACCGATTCTAATGGAAAATATAAGTTAGGAAAGGAGCAAGTTGTTTCAGATATCAAACAACATATCAAACCGGCTGCTATGGGTGACTGTTTACTCAGAATTTGATATCATGAGAAATGCGGCAGGAAAAGCTCTCTTCTCTTTGTGTTCCCAACAGAGCTATAGAGCGTAAGTTATCCCGTGGAAGTCTGCGCTCTGTTTAGGCGGGTGGGAAAACGGCCGTAAAATGTCGTAATATCTACTGGCGGCAGGACGATCGCTAAATGTCCAACGCAGAACAGCGCTTCACGGCAAGTACCCGAGGTCATAGTGATTGCCTCCACTTTTCTCATCTTGGCCGAGAGTTCCGCAATGGAATTATTCTCCATTATACAAATATATAAATTTATGGCCTGTTATATTTTGTCACTTGTTCGACTTGGCGCCCAAGATCGGCACGACTGGAGCTTCCCCGCCCGTTGGATCTTCTCCCGTCGCTTTTCCATGCCTTTAGAACTATCATTTTACTGGAACAACATGGAATACACATCTATATAGATAATCTTCTAATCTTCACCCCACCACTACTACAGGAAACTTACATACTTCAAATACGGAACGGGTATAGGCACCAGGAATAAAATAAATAACCCCCCCCCCCCCCGGGGGCGCCCGGGCAAAATATCACACAGCAGAAAAGAGAAAGAAAATCCTAAAACAACAATGATATCCCCACTAACCACCCGCCTCCACGCCTCCCATAGCCGCTACAAAACCCGCAACCCCAGATCCTACGCCGCCCACCAGGAAGCCCTCAAACACCTGCCTGGCGGAAACACCCGCTCCTCAATTTTCTCTACCCCATTCCCCCTCACCATCGCCTCTGGCAAAACTGGCACCCTCACCTCCCTAGACGGACACACATATACTGATTTACTCGGAGAATATAGCGCTGGCCTATTCGGCCACTCCAACGCGCGTATAGCCAATGCTATATCAACCGCCATGACAGGTGGATGGAATTTCGGCGGCATCAGCGTGCATGAGTGTGCTTTTGCGGCGCGTGTGTGTGACCGCTTCAAGGAGGCTGGGGTGGAGATGGTGCGATTTACGAATTCGGGGACGGAGGCGAATACAATGGCGATTGCGACGGCTTTGGCGTTTGTTAATAGTAGTGACAACGGGAACGATGGCACGAGGACGAGTAGCACGAAGAATAAAATCCTCGTCTTCAGCAACGCATACCATGGCGCAACACTTACGTTTCCGATGAGCCTTGTCGGCGGAAATGGCGATCAAGGCAGCGGAGTGATGAGCAGCGGCGGCACCGCAGGCCCCGCAGCCACGAATCTCCCACACGACTTCGTCATGGCGCCATACAATAACATCGCGGAGACGAGGGCAATTATCGATTCCCTCGATCCAAGCAATAGCCTTGCTGCAATCCTCTTCGAACCCATGCAAGGCGCCGGCGGCTGTCGGACCGCCACGAAGGAATTCGCTAGCTTCCTACGGCAGGTTGCGGACGAGCATTGCGCGCTCCTCATCGCTGATGAAGTGATGACGTCCCGACTGGGACCTGCGGGATTATGTGTGAGGTATTTGGGTATCAACCCTGATATTATGACGTTGGGGAAATGGGTTGGTGGTGGGATGAGTTTCGGGGCATTCGGGGCCAGGAGGGAGATTATGGAGTTGTATTTACCTGCAGGTCCGGGGGAGGGGAAGGGGAGAGGGAAAGGGAGATTGAGCCATGCCGGGACTTTTAATAATAACATATTGACGATGGTGGCCGGATTCGAAGGCCTGGGCATATATACGAGGGAAAGAGTTGAGGCGCTTAATGCTTTGGGGGATAGATTGAGAGGCGGAGTTTGGAGTATGCTTGCTGATCGGGGAATTATCGGTGAACATGTAAGGACGGGTGGTGAGTTAAGTGGAGGGTTTGGGTTTGTGGAGGTCGATACGTTTCATCGAGAGAAGCGGGAGGGGGAGACCAAGACCCTTCCACGAATGTTTATAAGTGGGTATGGGAGCCTGATAACCGTGCGGTTTACTGGAGATGCTGCAGAAGCGTGGCAGGCGCTGTTTTATCACCATATGCTGGACCAGAATGTTTATCTTGCTATGAGGGGCTACATGGCTTTGACGTTAGAGACGACAGAGGGTGATGTTGACAGGTTTATCAAATGCGTGGGGGCCTTTCTAGACCAGTATGGAGAGGAGCTGCTGGTTGCTTAGACGAGGAAAGATCGGACAGTGTGATCTGGTTTGAAGCAACGATTAAAGCCAGGCTCAGGCTAAGTCGGTTGATAGTAAACAGCGCCAAATGGAATATCATTGTAAACAGTAAGACTCAACAGCAGGCTGTATCTCTTCAAAAAGAACCTGTACATACATTGGACGAAATTCCCCGCCGCAACTGGCTTTGAGCCAGGGTGGTCTGTCCTACAGGGAGAAAGGAAATCCAGTGTCAATACAAGAAAAATGACTAAATACAAGAAGTCATAAAAAATGTAGAGGTATGTGTGTAAGCAAAAAATACAAGTGAGAAACAGGGGTAGATCTGAAATAGGTAACTAAAATTTGAAAAGGAAGAAACCAAAATCACCTGAGAAACGGACAAAATGAATATCTCAAGGGTGTGTCGTTGGTGGAATAAAAGGGACAAACAGTACAATCTCTATAGATCTCTATGAGACGGGAAGCAATGTATCTTGAATATGAGCGCATGTTCGGTTGTTTGGCATCCCTCGTTCAGGATACCATCACAAGAAAAAGGGAAATGGATGAGGGAGCTGGGGCCTAAGGCTTCATTTAATTGCGTCATTACCAAGCCTGAAAAAGGTTCTTCGTTCCAGCGATGACCCATCAACAGGAACAAGCGATGAGACGAAAGAAAGGATTGAAATAGAATTCAGACAGGCAAAAATCATGATCGTTTAATAGTATGCATGGATGAGAAAAAAAAAGAGGGGTTAGAAAACAAGCAAAACTGACTTCTGAGCAAGTCAGAGAGGGATGCACGCGTGTAGCAAAATGTTCCATGTACTCCGATAAACGATGCGGAGAATTAAAATCAAAAGGATGAAATGTCAAACGCCAGTTAACACGCAAAATTCAATAATCAGGTGGTCTTATCAATCAAGTTCATTATCACCATCAGTCGAGGCGAACGGACGGTGTCTAATGCTTATTCTCCGCATTCCTGTACTATTTGTTCTAGGCCGTAACTGGAGTAAACCGGTATATTTAGAGCCCAAGCCGGTCCCTGCGGAATTAGGGTCTTTCGGTGAGCCTTCCGCAGATTTGGTACCCGTATTTAAAGAGGCTGCGCCGTATCTTCGGAATCCAGGCTGGATATTCGTGTGCGTGGTTGTTGGAAGGCTCGTACCTGGGGTACCATAATTCCTGCGCATTGGGATATTTGACTGGGCTTGAGGGGTTGAGTGGGATTGATCGGTATGCTGTTGTGGGGGGGATAGCTGCTGTAACACGTGCTGTTGATCCGGGAGCGGATGATTGGAAGTATACTCGCGCGAATGGCGTCGTTCTCTAGGTGAATAACGAGTTGTCCCGGCGTTGATCTCAGTCATTGCTCGGGAAATAGGACGGGAGACAACAGACGCTTTGTCGTCAGGTTCTTCTTCACCTTGCAATCTTCGGTTACGAAGTGTCATAGAAGAACGATTGAGACGGCTTGGAGGAGTTGAAAGGCTGGATGGAGGAAGCTGGTTTGTTTGTTCCTGGTTGTTTCGGCTGGGTGTAGGTCCTGTACTCAGACTAAGGATGCTTGCTCGCCGCGTCTCCAAACGACTGCCCGCTGCCAGTCGCATTGTGGGAGTATTACCACGGTGAATGTCCTCTGGCTCATGGCTGGCGCTTCGACGATATGCGATAGTCGGCGTTATCGACTCCCTATCTACAATTCCATCCCTTCGGTACTGGCTAGATGTCACCTCTGGACTACCCGGTCTTGTTTTCAGCATAGATTCCCACTGCTGATCTGACAATACCAAACACAACTCTGTTAAACCCCGGCACAAGCTGTCCGCCTTTCGTCGCACCTGCCGCTCTGAAACACTCGCTCCATTAACAACGGACATACCACTTCCGTGCTGTGGCGCGTTGGAGCTGAGAATAGTAGCCAATGTTAAGGCGTCTGTTGCTGTTGCTTCAAGCGCGCGATACACATCGGCATTCAGTATGGGTTTGGCTTTCGCTAAAGCTGTGTTAAGTAAAGGGTGTACTTGATCTGCTGCAGCGCCTGATTCCGGTTCTGGTGGTGGAGACGTCGTTTTTCGACCATGTTTTGGGGAAGAAGAGAGTGTGGTCACTGTCGTCGTTGCAGTGCGGGGCCTTTCACCAGAAACACTAGACATTGCAGCGGCAGATGACGGTGGTAATTTCCCCGTCAGCTCCAATTTACGAATTCTAGACTTCAAGTCATCTAACTCATCCCAGACGGTAGACGGGGCAGTTGTAGATAGGGTTGATTCTGTGCCATCCAGCCTCGATCTTTCTGCTTCTAACCTAGATCGTTCGGCTACTGTGTCCGCGGTAGAGGAATTTTGGGTGGTTCGCATAGTAGATAGATTAGATTGTCTGTATGTGCGCGACTGGCCTTGCACTTGTTCCTGGGCATTGGAACCCCGTCTTTCAATAGTGTAATTCGTAGAAGATTCGGGGGACGGTTCCTGGCTTGTACGAGTGAGTCTGCTCCGAGGAAGACCAATAGATGATCTTGCGCTAACACCAAAGTATCGAAGTCGACTTTTCTCATCCACTGGATGTTGAGACGCGATAGGGGATCGAAGTGAGGAAGAGCCAAGTCCCAGTGAAGGGGAGTCGTCCTGAGAGCGTGACGGTGTAACCTGATCAGAGTCGAACCGGGGAGTCTGGGGAGAAGGAACCTCCTCATTGGCTTGACTCGTACGTGAAGACAGGCCGGAGAGACCAAATTTAGACTTGTGGAATTGTGACAGTTAGCTAGATAGGCGATATCAAAAGGAGTAGAGGAAGTATAGAGAAATGTAGAGAAAAACGAGAGGTAAAGCAGACAAGAATGCGCAAATAAAGTCTAGAGAAATGAGAAACACAATAACAAACAATTCTGGTGAATGCAACACAGAGCTTACCCTTTTCCTTTCAGTCTTCGTTGTTGAACTGCGGCGGATGGAATTTGCTTTCGCAATATTCAAGAAAATGTCTTCATTTTTGGACTTGCCATCCTCGGCAAGAGACTCCTTGCTGCTTGTGTCCGTATTCCCATTGCTTGTGCTCTGATGGCCCCGTTCACGACTGCTGCCACCCAAAAAACTTCCACCCAGGCGCGTGGCTGAGAGAGTCATATTGGCTTTTTCCCGCTTCGTAGTTGTGCTTGATCCAATTGGTAGAGTCGCGCGCTGTCGCAATTCACCGGCTGTCGCAGGGGACGTGTCTGGTTTCAAGACTGCATCAATGCTAGATGCCGGACGAGGAGGTTGAAGTTTGGTTTTTGATCTTGCAGTACCCCCAAAAGATCTTGGTCTGTGGAAAGAAGAAGGTGTTGCTGACGTCGATGTTGTTTTTGATTTTGTATTGTGGCGGGATTTATCGTAGGACAACGAGCGTTGTGTGGAAAGCGCAGGCGGCGGGCCGGTTGACGTTTCGATTCCGCACGAACTGCGAGACGCGGGAGACCTTTTCTGATGGGGGGATTTTGGCTCGACGTTGGGTTGAGGTTTTAGCGAGTGTGATGTTGTAGAAGAAGAGGCGGTTGTAGGGGTGCTGGAGGATATTGCGGAAATGTTGTTGGCAGATGATGGGGATAATTTATCCAAGTCACGAGTTGTCTGGGTCCGGGGTGTCTGCAACAGTAGGGTAGGGATGCTGGTTGGCGTGGTCCGTGTAGGAGGAGGCTTCAGGGCATTTATTTTGCGCGGAGAAAAACAGGCGAGCGTAGGATCAGATAGACTGGCAGAGCTGATGGGACAGGAATTGCTACTGCTGCCGGTATACACAGCCAAGTTGGCGGTTGATTTCGGAGTCTGCAAGAGGCGAGTGGTAGAATCCGACGAACGACGGTCTACATGCGGTGCCTCTACAGGCTGGCTGGTCAAAGGATCAGTCAGTCTGCGAGAGCGCATCCATTCTTTGTCATGTTTGCTGTTAGCAGACTCGGTCACAGTAATTGTCGAGGTGGAGTTGGAGTTGGAAGAAACAGCTTCCAGGCGCATTGCGTGGGTGGGCCTGGCCTGGCGGGAGCGGACTACGACACACGGCTGGGGATGGGGGTTGGGGTTGGGGATGGGGATGGGGATGGGGATGCTGGAGGGAGAACATTCAGGAGAGCAAGGAGTATTCCAAGGAACAGTACACAGTAAATCACTACGCTGTAGGTCAGAACTATAAATGAAAATGCCAGAAATACTCCGCACGCCTGGATCTGGGCGGGAAGTCGAAAAATGACTGAAAATGCAGCGGATGAGCTGTTGTTTAGTCGGGGCATTTGGGCACAACAAGGGGATTATTGGATTGGATGGATGGCATCTGGCACGGACAATGGATATGGATACCCAGGGGGACTTCCTCTAGTCCTGCTGGAGGTATGGGGCACTTTGTAACCTGGAGGTATTATTTCATCAACTCCATGACCAATTTCATAGCGTGGCGCCCCGTGGTCTGACAATCGCCTTGTCTGTGTGTCGGTCTCATTCTCAACGACGACGACGCTGGTTACGCTGATGGCGGGAACAGTTTCAAGCAGACTCGATTCTGAAATGCGCCTGGGGAGTGTTGGCAGTTTTACATCTACATCTCTATTCCCCATACAGAGTACAGTCCTGATAGAATCTCCTCTAGATGGTTAAACCACTACATCCTCTCGTCTCATCCCCGAAATATAGCCCCTGACAGAAAGAAAATGGCCCCCCTTTCCCTTTCCTCTCTTTCAGGCTAAAGCATAGTTAATTAATCTGCTCGGCCTAAGCGCTAAGTTAATTTAGCAAAGACTTCGAGTTTCAACAGAATAAAAACATAAAAGCATGTCTTCCAAAGAGTACAAATCTCAATCTTCCTATAGTTACTATCCTCGTCTCTAGGCTCGAATATTGCTCACCAGAAATTGCAAGATATTCTAGTTATAGACCTAGATTCGGAGGACCGCCGTTTGCTAGCCCCATCTCGGGGCCAGTCCCACATGTTCAAACGTCAACCATGATGGGATTCGCCAATTTTGAAATACCAATTGGTCGTAGGACACTGCGGGCATCAGCATGAAGCCCTAGGTAGTTGTTCAAACCCCCTCTTTCGCTTCCTCGCATAGAGCGCACCAATTTCATACAAAAAAAAAGGCGCCAACCTTACTCGCCTAAACAAGATGCCCACTAAACTCTCTCTTTACGGATTAGGCTTGAATTAATTAATTTCACTTGTGGTTTGTTCGCTGCCGGCTTCTAATCCGTAGTTACAGCAGTCGTTCCAGCCCTCCAGGCTGAGGAACATTTTTGTACCACGGGGAGGGAGAAAACTTGACGAACCCAAGAGGCGAGGATTTCTTTATCTGTCGATCTCCCCCGGCCTAGTCTACATCGTCCTCCTTCGCCCCAGCCACTGAGATGCTAGTGAAACCGCCAGCGGTTTTGGAAACAGTGGCTTTTTCTTGCCTACTCATCCCTCCACACTTTCATTTACTGAACCTTCGCTTCTGTTGTTGACCGATACCTATTCCTGAAAATATTTTCTTCCCCTTCGTAAAAAAGGAAAAGGAGAAAAAGCTAAGCTTGTGACGGAGAAAGCCGACGAGTTGCTTGTGGGTTGTCCTGGTCTGATTGACATTTGATACGCCATGACTTTCGCACAATTGGAGGGGTTCGTACGAGTGTAACTCGCCTGATTTGCCAGCCAGTTGTCAACACCCACCACTTACGCCATGCTGCACAGTTTCCAACACAACTAACCTCCTTGAACAAAGTACATACATCTCAGTTCTTGAACTTACGCTCATCGCACATACTCTTCTTCGGCGCCGACGGGAATGCGGCACATATATTTTGTTACGAGCAATGGAAACATATAGGACTTGCTTGCTCGCACGCCCTGATATAGATGGACAATGCATGAATAACTACTACATAAAAATTTAGAAGTACGTTATCTCAGAGTTACTGTTGAACGCACTTGAATTAAACAACCGTCCCGCTTCGAGCTCGTCATCATCCCACCCCTCTCTCCCTCTCGCACCTTATGATTGGCTCTGTTTCGCAATACCCCTCCCTCTGCGAATGCCTTCGAATGAACTCTCACATCATAGCCATATCATTGCCAATCGTCCGAAGGTATGCCAATGGCCAAAACCAACGTGTCCTTAACAGTATAACCGTGGTCCTTTCTGCCACCAGACGTTCCCTTGGGTTATATCAAAGAGGGCTGCGTGCCAGTTTCAGAATACCACCCAGAAGCATAAATCAGAGCCTGCTCAGCACTCATCCCTTGCTACGCTGATATTATTGAACTCCTACCAATGAGAACCTTATTCGCCACTCAGATATAAACTGTGTCTGACTGCACAGGGAATCCACTGTTGATAAGCCAAGTGTAATTAATATTTAATCTGATGGCGCTTTTTCAACATCATTGGCCATGAAGCACACTATTTACAAAGCAACACAGCGAAGTGCTGTATCTCTTAAGTGGTTCAAGGCAGATATCTAAAACCTTGAATAGCAATTTTTCACAAATTCTCACATTCTATTTTTATAGGATAATCTACAGTTGACTCGAAGTTATTGCCATTCAAAATATACTTGCTGCTCTGAAAGAATTGCCTTGTATGCGTCCATGAGTCTTCATTCAAGCGTGCTTGAACCACTTCAACTCACAAGTTCACGAACCATTGACATATGTAGGTTTGCCACTTAACGGTCAATGTCATCTATCTTGGGCTTTGTAGCATTCCTGCTCTACACATGGGGCTTTGGCAGCCATCTAGGCCCAATTTCCACCGCAGTTGCTAAACGTGGGTGTTCTTGAACCTCTACAGCAGTTGATATATTGCTGTTGACCACAGTTCCTTCTGTTCTTCTCTTTTTGCAGCAAATGCTTGATGTGCGGCACCATTTTGGTAACTGCCCAAACTTACTAGAAGCTCCTTCAAAAGTGAGAATATAAGCACGTCCTTTATACACCATGAATGTATCCTCATCTGCTTCGAGCACGAAAACCCTTTGGTCAGGTGGCAAGATACTTTGAGAGCAGTTTCCTATTATGATACCTGCTACTTTACCCCTTTCCATCAGAACCCAAGGACAATGAACCTCATAATTTATTCATTCATTTATTCTACCACCTGTCCTCCTCTTTATTTCTAACTATAGCTCACCTCCACTCTTTACTCCCTGTCAAATTCACCGTATCCTCACTGAAGTAAAATTTAAGAGAGTAACATATGCACGGATCCAGGAAAGGGCATTAACATCTTTAGCACACTGTTAGTTTTTCAACTACGAGCGATATTTAAACAAACTCACTCCCCTTAGTTACGTTCTTCTCGGTCAATTGTTCTCCTTTGCCGTGAGAACTAATATAATCTGGCTCTGCATAAGGACTCCTCGCCCTCACTCGTCCTCCCGTCGTTCGATGCTGTAAGTCTCTCACATCTTCATCCGGATTAGATATGGTGGTATTATTCGGATGGATTTTCCTTTTGAGAAGCACATTTCTTAGCGGTGGTATCGTGCGTTCTTTGATTCTAAAGCTCTGCTCCAAATCTTCACGATGTGCTGGTTTAGTGGATGATGTAAGAGAGCTGGCAAAGTCGGTGCAACGGTGTTAAACAAACTCCCTAAAAGAGTATACAGGTGACGAAGTTTTAAGGTTAATTTGAGATCTATATAGATCCATGTTTATGCCAATTGAGTTGGCAGGTTCCATAGAACCTTAATCATTTAACCGAGCGGCTAAATTTCATATGCCAATCGCAGTAAGCCCAATTACCGCTCTCATGAGCCGCGGGATCCACTCTACTCTCCAAAAGGCTGAACAGTGACAGCGTCATGACATCATGGCTTATTGAATTGGATTTTAAGGGTCAGGGAAATTACGGGAGAATCCGTGTGTAAACTAACTTCCTGAATTTTGCAGAACTATATCGCAGTTTATATTGCCGGGTACGGGCAAATTAGATTGAAACTCAGATGTATATAGATCTTTCCGCCGTGAGCAGACCAGCACTCAGTCCAGCAAAAGCAGCATGTCTCCCCAAGTAATTCACGAAATTAGGTTTGAGCATCACACGGGAAATATAAAATGCGGTCCACTAATTTCAAATTGCAGTAAATATTCATCTATCTAGGTGGGACAGGAAGGAAATCAACCGCAAGCCCTTCTTCCCCTTTCACCTACTCAAGAAACAGTCAGGAGCACTGGAGAACGGCTCTTCCCTGTCTCCCTTCTTGCTATCCGAATCTGAAATCCTTGTAGCAACCAAGAGTTGAGAATCTTTCGACTTTCTTTTTTTGTCTCCCACTTACTTACTCTTACTTCTAAGTTCGGAAAGTATGGAGTATGGATCATACCTAAATTAATTAGTAGCAGAGATGCAAGATACATAAACGCTGATTCACTTTTACAAATTAAGTTGTAGTTTATAATTAGAAAGCGCAATCTCAGCATCAGAATGTATGTTCTTGTAGAGATACGCGTGCACCGCTAATGACAAGTGAAAGAAGAATAAATAGAACAAGCTGATGTTATTTTTCGCTCCCATCCAAACTGTTTAGCTTACAAGCTAGCAACAAGAAACCACGCTCTATTTTTGCCTCTGGATTAGCCACCACGTAACGTTGCGGCATTGCAGCGTATTTTATCAGATCTCTAAATATCTCATCTCCTCCTCACTTAAGATACTTGTTTTGAATCTTAAATTTGGTTTGAGCAGGGCCAGGGCTCCCTGAGAGCTGGAAGTTTGTAAGAGGCAAACTTTTTCATGAGTCGCAGTTGGTTGTTATTAGAATGTCTGGTTTCAGTTGTGACTGAATTTGGGGAACTTGACCGCTTCAACGATACGGAGCATCCTCTCAAATTTTTGATTAGCAGTAAGAATTTTATTAAGGTGTAACTTTGTTACCAGCATAAAGTAATCTCATTCCCTCTTAGCGTTAATCAAAAACTTTTGAGAGGATCCTCCGTATAATGAGGACGAGCGTTTTATTACATTGCTCTTAAAATAGACGTGTCCACTCAACAATTTTTTTTTCTTTTTTTTAAGTTATTTCTTCATTTGTGGGAGTCAGCCCAGGTAGACATCTGTTAACTCAAAAAAAAAAAAAAAAAAAGAAAAAAAAAAAAAAAAGCAAAACTAATAAATATGATCCCAGGTGGATGTTAAGGCCTTTTTTTTTTGTTTTCTTTTTGCTTTTTCTCTCCGCCTAACTATTTGAATCAGAAAAATTTTCAAATCAAGGAAACCTGGAGTGTTTCAGATCTCAAACAGGCTAAGTTTCTCCCAAGTCATGTGCGAGGCGTTGATGATCCCTTCAAAAGTCCAATCAGCAACAGCAGGCGGGGAGGAGGCTTGATTCTATTTTTGGACCTCCCCACCCCTTCCTCTAGGATTATTACGTCAATGCGCTGTTTTGGTATTTACCTCCCTCTTGTAATTTGTGTATTGGGTTTACTAGACGTATATTTGCGGCTGGTGATGGGCGAACTCCTCCACCTTGAGGCAGCTGGGCATTCCGGAAACAAACAATTCGAGGTGAAATGATGAAGACTGTGCTATCCTGTTGCGTCACGCAGTTTTCTATACGGATGTATGCAGAAGAGGATCGTAATGAATACTATTTTCATTATTTTCTAATTATATCTCTGTAGTACCTAGTTACTGTAATGTTTAGTGAATATCAACACGAGAGAAGATGCTAGCCAAGAATATCAATTCCTTCCTTCAGAATTCTATGGTTTCTCTCCATTCCTACATATGGACATGTAGAATATGGCAGATAAACCGCCAATGCACGCAGGCTCTAAAATCTTCCTCATTAGCCCTTCGGGCAAATGACCAAGCTTTCCCGTTTTCCCCCCCTTTCAGCTCTCTTGAAACATGGATCAGGCACTATATGAGACACAGCTAACATAATTTTCGGCTAGAAGTTCATGTCGTGCTTCTTTCCAGGCAATATTAAGAGGGAAGGAGACAGAGGGTAACCAACTCAGGACCCTGGTACAGGATTAATTAGAGTTAATTGAGTTATACGGTTTTGTTTTTAAACCGCTGAAGCAGTCAATACTACCTTAAATAAGAATTTGCGTTCCCAATAAAATGCTGAAGAAAACAATTAAAGAGAGCACCTCAGTATACTTACTTTTCGTCTTCATTATTGAGCAGTGCTGTGATGTTTTTGGTAATACTGATGAAGCTCCAGTTTCAACACGAGTCTCTCAATTCTTTACCCAGCAGTAATTGAGAATGCTGGGATCAAAATGCCTTCTTCTGGCAGTGTGCACGCGTAATCTGTCCATCTGAACACCCACTTCTTGTCAGCAGCACACACCGATTTGATGACTGCGGCGCTTCTAGGACTTTAACCAGGAAAAACTTCATTCAATAAACCCGGTCGGTCTAGGCTTTTCCAACAGTTGACTGAGATCGCAATTAACTCAATCTCATAATACTTCAGAATATTCTGAAGGGATTTTGTGACATTCGAAGTTAATTTGTAGAGTATCCATCCAGCTTGGCTCATTTGAGCTTTGGGGAAACCTGGACCGTACCGGACGACAGGGAGCTATCCATTATTAGCTAAAGATCAGATTGCAATGAGGCATGATCCGAAACAATAATGCGCATGTCGATCAAACAGCCCCTTCCTGGTTCTTATTATGATCAGCGTAGCAAACAGGGAAACGGAAGAGAAAATCGTGGAAAGTTGGGAGGTAAAGGAGCAGCTTAACGTCATCGTAACTACCAATGTACAGCCTAGTCTATACAAGGAGGTGAGCATATCTCGGTATTATATGATTTTGATATTGACGTGATGTTCATTGACGTTTTGTTCATGTTCCGTAGAAGAAAGGGGGGTTGGTTAGGAAAACAAAACCCACGGTTTTAAATGCCTTGTGGGTGGGTGCACGTTCTCAAGGCCGTTTTCATTCACCCTCCCTTACCGGCGGTCAAATCTGGAATGTGGCAAGGCTGATCCGAGAAAACGGTCAGAGCACAATAATAATAATAGTTAGTTGGGAAAAGAAATACAGAAGCGCACCTAACGCTTTTCTGAAACATGAAACCGAAACACAACAATCATTTGCTGAGCGTGTTTTCTTGCGTGCTTTGAACCATTATTCCCTCTTCGGCTCTCAATCACAGACGCTTGCTGTTCGGGTTGCAGCTCCTACGAATCGTTTCGCAGGACGTTAACCGACTCTCAGGTAGGCTAGAAATGCTTGAAAGGAAACAATATGAGAGCACTGCTGGTCGTTTCGTGTAGGAGGCGCACAATCAATTTTCATCTGAGTGACAATGCAAATAGAGCATATATGTCCTTGAAGAGTGGGGGGGACAGGAAGGGTAAAGGGAAAGATCGGTTTTCTTCCTCTCTCTTTTTTTCCATTCCATTCTTCTCTTTTCTATGCTTAATGGGCACTAGTAGTGACCGCGGATCCCAAAGGGTGCTCATCCCATTCCATGCGCAAGCGTTTTCTAGAATTTTGTGATGACGGCAAGAGTCGTTACGCACACGTTGCGATGCGAGGGGAGTCTGGGATATGAAATAACCCAAACCCAAATATATCCCTGAACCACTAATGCCAGTCTCGTGCAGGCTGGGATGGCTAAATATAGAGCAGTTATGGTTGCAATCAACGAGGCCAAGGCTTCCAAGGGTGGTTGGATGGCTTTCGGGGCAGGTGGATAGTGAGTGATGATTGGCCGCAGCAGGAATCGTTCCGGCGGCTACAGCCGACAGGACAGGCCAATGGAATGTGTCCGACGAGGTCCAGCGAAGCAGCACGAATGGTCAACGGCAACAGGCGTTAGACAAGTGAATCTCTGTTGTATAAGCATGACTCTGTCTCTGCTGCCTCAGGTCCCTGGGTAAACGTGTAGTAAGTAATAATCATATTCTGGAGGAGAAGAATTCGTTCTGGTGACGAGCTTTTGACGCTGGCCCTGTCCCTGGAGCTGGAGGATGGATGGGCTTAAAATAGCTGCACCCAACCACCAGATAGCTAGGGCAGCCCTGCTGTAATTTACGCCGAGCTGACAATACCAGATCCGGGCCTTGAGTACTCCACCGACCCGACCGCACCCTTGTCCAGCTGTCCCTTCGACCTCCTTTGGCCCTGGAACTCCCGCCCAGAGGCTAGAGAGCAAACGTAACGGGCTGTGGACTTGTGGTTGGCTCCCTGCAGCGCGACCTAGCGCTAAGACCCTGGCCTGCTCATCCTGGCTGGCTCGCGTCTCGCATGTCTTGTCATATCGTGTATTATTGTATGGTATGGTATCCGTGTTTGTTTGTGTTCTGTAACGTCCGATGCGGCTGCTTGCTCTGCTCCATCTCTCGTCTCCCTCAACTTATCCTCCTCCTCCTCCTCCTCCTCTTCTTCTTCGTCGTCTCTCCTCTCCTCTCTTCTTCTCCACAACGTCGTCATCATTATCACCTCCTTCCTCCCCTTCAAACTTCTATACTCCTTTTCTCTTCTCTTCTTCTCGTCTCCTCTTCTCCCAGACACTGGCTGTTTGGCCTCCTGTATTGCCCTTCCCCCTCCATCCCACTCCTGCACACTCTGGTTCCAAGCATCCATCCAGTCTAGAAATACCCCCTTCCTCTAGGCTTGCAAACTTGCTTACTGGCCAACCCCTTTTGATCCCCCTCTCCTGATTCCAGATTGTCTGGTGTCTCTCCTGTCGGCACTCCACTGCCCATTCTCTGCTGCTACTCTCTTCACTTCTTCTACTTTCCTTTCATTTCATTTCATCCCATCCACCTTGACGAGGTTACACTATTTCACTTACGCACTTTCGAGTCTTTCCCGGGTGGAAACGACTTGTCCCACGGCTCATCGCGAGCCCCAGCCATTCGGCCATTCAGCCATCTATCCAGCCATTCGACCCTCCCGATCCACATCCCCTAATTTCCCTAACAAAGGGTTTCGCCCTTGACCGACTATCCACCTCCATTTCGAAGCGGGCGCCCTCCCGGAAAGTCGTTTATTATACGATTGTTATTGAAGAAACCCAAGGGCAAACACTTTAACGATAAGTACCACGCATTGACAGCCCAATATAACGCATAACCTAATGGCATATCTGGAACCGTTGCTGGTCTGAGATATAAGTTTATTGCGACTTGGCTGTTGGGGCCAAGAGTGTTTTGCTGGGCCTTCTTTTTGCCCTTGTTTCTGTTAAGATACTAAGAATATCCACCGTAAGTCAAGGTCAATACTTATTCTCTGCCATTGTCGTTTTGTGGCATGTTTTGGCGTTGCCCTACCCCCGCCTATTGTCTTTGGCGCCCTCTGCGCCATGATTCACCTTGATTCTCCCGCTTTTGTTTAAACGGTTTCCGTGGTGATCAAGGGTTGTATCATTTACCATGTCATGCTGGCCTCAAGTGACTTTGCATGTCTCTTTTATCCCTCATTCCTCCCCCTCTCCTTTTACCAACATAACTTATTTCTTGCCGCGATGGTCTCAGCTGTCGAACCCATCGACTCAACTGCCATGATATCTTGGACTCAGTATACCAAGACTGTCAATGCTAACAGATGCCTAAAAAGATCGTTTGCGCAGGTGGCAGGTCCAAAAGCCCTTTATTTCCAGGACGTCCAATGTGGCATCCATAATACGGCAATGTCGTTAGAGATGCTGAATGAGCACAGCAACTGCCCACAGATTGGTTCAACGAAACGCAGATCTAGTTCTCTCTCGCGGTCGGACATACCCGCCCAGCCAGCCTCTCCCTCGCTCTCTTCGTCGTTTCCCTCTTTCATGTCTACAATTGCTGCTGCAACTGCTGTTGCGGATGGGTCGAGTTATTATTACAATGAGGGAAGAGAAAAGAAGCGCTTGGGACCAAGGATAATCATGGATGCGGGCGGCTCAACGACGGCACCGTCAATTGCATCCGCCTCAGCCACTTCCACTGCCCCCGTCAAGGCTACAGCGGTAGGGTATGGTCTAAGCCGTCCACGGACCGCTGGCTCAACAGCACTTAATCCTCCCCAGATACCCTACCAATATCTACCACGCGAAAACCTGTCCATTGCATCCGGATCGACAGACTCTTCCCCCACCACTACTATCTCCACTTTTGATTCCCCTGTCGTCCAGGACGCTTCTCCAAGCTCTTCACCGGAGTCCCCTTCCTCTGTTACGCCTCTTCCATCGCTTAAACCCATGACACGTATTACGAATGGCGATCGACTGGCTGCCCAGTTAAGCGCTGAGTCGTGTTTCAGACCGAACCAACCCTTCTCTACTCAACATCATCCTCAGCCGGAGTCTCCAACACGCAGAGCTCGAAATTTGAAGAATTTATCGCTTAAATTACCCCCGACTGCGTCCTCTCGTCAAGCCATAGCTACAGCCCCCATCAGAAACAACACGCCTAATATCTCAGCGCCCGCATCTCCCATACAATCTAGTACCAGGTGTTTACGTCGCAAACCTCCAAATCTTACGATACAAACTGACCGATCCTTTTCTTCTAATATTTCAGAGGTTGTTCCTCCTACTCCAAATACCCGACCCACCCTTCGACATATCGAGTCGTCACCGTCACTCAACTCCATATTCTCTCCAACAGCGCCAAGTAAACCTTCTCTTGCGCTTCCGGGTTCATTTTTCCAGTCTTCGAAACGGCCCATGCCAGGCGCTTGGGAAGATCGCGTTTCACTGGATCGACCATCCCCTTCTGCACAACACATATTTTCCAGTAGGGAAGCTTTGCATGAGCTTGTTGAGGAAGAGGATAACCTAGCTTCACGTGAATCGCAGAAGGGTAGCGATAAGGGTTATCCGGATGGACCTATTTTAATATATGACACCGGCCTCTACCTCTACCTGGAGCCAAGCTGCGAGGAAGCTTCAAAATTTGATGTCGTTATAAATGTCGCCAAGGAGGTTACAAACCCGTTCACAAACGCAGAACTGAAACAGGATACTGTCGTCTCGGTATGGAAGGCTACATTACCTGATGCGCAGCGACAATCCGTGGCGGAACCTGATACTGCCCTGTCAGAAATTTCTTTCAAGTCTGCTTTCGAACATCAGCCCATAGGGACGGAGTCGCCGGCAAGCCCAAGGCGTCGCCCATCTGAGCCAGAGTACATACATGTACCATGGGATCACAACTCTGAAATTCTCGACGACTTATATCCTCTTTGCGAGGTGATCGATAACAGGATTTCGCAAGGGAAAAAAGTCTTGATCCATTGCCAACTTGGCGTCAGCAGATCCGCGTCGCTGGTCATCGCATATGGTCTGTTTAAAAATCCCGATAAAGACTTCAATGCGATGTACAGCATTGTAAAGGGTAGGAGTTGTTGGGTTGGGCCGAATATGAGTTTGATTTATCAACTGACTGATTTCCGGACACGGGTTCAGCAACGGGGCCCTTCCCGATCTCCTCCGGCTGAATGGTTTGATGGATCCCTAGATGCGAAAGCATCTACCACCCAACCAGAAGCTCAAGGGAATTCTTCTTTAATTTCAAAACCCCCACGACCCCCAGTCCCTCTCTTCGACGCAGTCGTCAGCAATTCAAAAAACTCAACGACATACCCATTCACCAACCCCTTTAGCTGGACAGGCTCACACACATCATCTTCAAACTCAACATCATCCGCATCGGCAATTACGAGCCAACAGCGTCGAAACGTCTCCCCACGCCCCCTACCTCTCCGCGAACAGTACCAGACAATCCACTCCCTCCGTCGTCCTCGTCAGGACAACTCCATCCCGTCCCACCGAACCTTATCTCGAACCTCCGTCCACCAAATGGACCTTGTCATGCAAGACGTTCCCGCAACGCCATCCATACTCTCACCCCGCGCCGCTGAGTTCTGGACAACCCCATTCTCCCACACCCGCACCGCCGCGGGTGATCTCGCCTGTCGTCTCGACAGTACCAACAAGAATGATTCCAATCCTAGTGGCAGTGGCAATCGTGTGTCGATAGAGGTTATGTCCCCTGTCGTTCGCGCCTGTCACTCACCACCTCCAAACGCTGCGGATCCGCGGTCACCACCGCAACAACGGCGGGAACCAGTTATTATGAGAAATATTGATGAATTTCTTTGATACCATTTTTTTTTTGTTCTGTTTGTTTTTCCTTTAGCTTTTGTTGACTTTCTTATTATTGCTGCAGTTTGCATGTTGAGCGGTGCCGACAAAAAGGGGAGGAGAGGATGTAATGAGAGATTTGAGATATTCGGGGGATGAGGGCAAAGAAAGTAGCTGGGAAACCCCCCCCACCGGCCCCCCGCCCCCCTCCCCCACGCCCTCTCATTTCTATTTCCTTCTCGTCTTCCTTTTCGTTTGCCCTTTTTTCTTAATTCTTCCGTGATAATTTGTTGTTGGGCAGCTGGAAAACACGCCCGCAAAGCGAGGGACGGCGTTCTTGGTGAGATCACAATAATCTGGGTCTTTTTTTTAATTTTATTTTTCCGTTTTTGGCCTTTCTCTCTTTTTTGTGTGCTGTATGGTGCATTATAAGGGAAAATCCATAAATTATTATTATATAATTTTGGCGGAGGTAAAGAAAAAGGGGGGGAAGGTTTTTTTTCTCTCTTTTATCTTTGCATCGCTCTTTCCTTTTTCTTTTCTTTTCTTTTCTTCTCTTCTCTTTTCCTTTCTTTCTTTTCCTTTTCTTTTTGTTCTTATTATTTTCACCTTCCCCCTCTTGTTTTGGCTGTTGGTTGATATGAAATGAAATGAAATGAATGATTTAATCTCTTTTTTCTCTTTTTTACAAAAGAACCACTCACTTTTGAGCTGAAATGAGATATGATTATGACTTAAAATGGGATTAAAGTCAGTGAGATATAGCACAGGTATTAATATTATATAGTCTTTTATAAAAAAAAAAGAAAGTCCACCTTCTCTTTGATTTTTACATTTTCTGAAGGGTGTCTAGCAGCAGGCTTTGGTGTTTGCTTTGTTCTTTTTTTACACTCAATGTCAGTTTACTGCTATTTATGAGTTTGATGTTTCATCTCAAAGTCTTCTTTCTAAGAATTTTGTTGTGCAATAGTTTTCTTTTTGATATCTTGTTTCTTTGTCAAAATGAAAATCAAGGTATTAACTAGAATAAAGAAAATAATATGTGAAGAGTCTGCTTAGCTTTAATAGATGTTAAATATAAAAGAGAGAGCTAAGTTTCAGAATGAGAATATAAGAATGTTTCTTGGAAAGACTCATGTTCATTTCACAAATGCATGACTTCTTTTTGGAAATGCTTTGTTTCATTGAGAGTGTACTCTGATATTTCATGTGTTTGAGAAGTGAATATGAGAATGTTTCAAACCTCTTTTTTATGTCAGGACTGGTGAAGAATGAGAATAATAAATGTAATTAAACATGTTTCAGAGCTAGTTTCCAAGAAATATGACAGATTAGTCAAGGGTTTGAAATCAACTTGAGTACCTCTTTTATGAATTTATTGCTCTGTGCAATTGGGTGATCTATGATAATGAGGGGAAAGGAGTGAAAAAGAGGTAGGTATTGAGGGAGTGGAACCTGAACCAAAACAAACCTACCTCTGAGACTACAAAACCAAGTAGAATGCCCTGCAATACAATTCTACACAAAGGATTAATTAAGCCAATCAATCCTCTACAGATATTTCCCCACAACCTCCTTGAGCACCTCATGATCCAACAACGCCTTAACCTTCAATCCGCCAGGCCCTTCCATATCCTCCGAGCTCACCAGGGCATTATAGATGGCCTCCTCCGTCGCGTCCGCCGCAGCTTCAAACAGCGCATTGATGGACGTATCCTGCACGGCACGCACTTTCTGCTCCACATTGACCGTCCCGATAAATTCCGGCTCATTACGGCTGACCTTCTCCGCCGTGCTAAAGGCGACGAAGATGTCGCCAGAGCTGTTGGAGCCCCCAGCTGCCCACGCACGATAGTCCTACCGTCGCGCGCTTGGCTAGGCGTTCGAGCTGGACGGGGTGGGTGTAAGGGTGCATATGTGGCGAGGACGACGATGATGCTGCCATCTTTCGTCGCCATATTTTCTTCTCTTCTTCTTTTCTTCTTCTTCTTCTTCTTCTTCTTCTTCTTCTTCTTCTTGCGCGGCCGCGAATGCTGCGGGTGATGGTGCAGCTACTACCTTCCGCTCCTCAATGATCCTACCCAGCGGCACCCCGCCAACATTAACTCCCCCTGCGAGCGGGGGAGGAGCATATCATATCATGAACCCGTTAGAGGCAGAGTACTATTCATTCCACCCAATGACCAGGGTTCGGGTGTCGTACGCGGAGAAATTAATTGCATTTCGTAGACATCCACGGAAATAGATCAGTGTGCTCCATTATAAAAGGAGACTTATTAAGAAGATGACCAGAAGAGTCTCAGATGGTTCAATAGTGGATCGAAGTTATGTACGGAGTACTCCGTACTGTATAAATTATTTATATTCCATTTGGGCTGCCATCGCGTGGAGAGATGTCGAATCATGCCTAGCAGGCTTGGCGACAGGCTGACTTCTCATGGGGTGGAGAGGGGTATGAAAGCCTATAACTAGTAGCTACAGGTGGTGATAGCCAGCCTAGACTCCAGCTAAGGGATAGCTAAGAACTCAGTAAGAAACGTACTAAACCCCACTAAACCGCGCCCCGAAGACCCGGCCCTATAGGCTATAGAAGACAGCATGTCCCCGAAAGCTAAACACAGAAAAAGCTAGCTCCAATCCCGGCAAGTGGCGGGGTGAAATTATGACGAGATGTCTTTAAATTCCCGAAGAAGCAAGCTTGTCACTCTCGACAAAACGCGGTAATCAATATATATCTAATATTTATCACAATGTCCACTCTCACTCATGCTGAAGGTGTAGATGGACATCCACCACACCTAGAACCAAGCCAATTAGGCACGAAGGAATAGTAAGTGGGCTAGCAAAGTTTTTTATTTTTTACCCCTCAATCAACGTTGTCCCGCGCCAAAGCGTATGCCGGTATCCTAAAGAAATTTTTCATACAACGGAGAAAATAGCTGACCCCGACTAAAATTTCCTTAATATGTGAGAAACTAGCTGGGAATCATTCTACGATAACTCTCTATCTCACCTATCTTCGAAGCAACGGGCGCGGGCGCGGGCGCGCAAGGGTCAAAGTCGTACCAAAGACGAGAGTGAAGCCGATGATAGAAACGAGGAGGAAGACGAAAAAGGTGCCGATGATGATGAGTACAACGGCGATGAAGACGGAGACGACGACCCTGGCACATCCTGGTTCATAGAACACAACGCGCCCGAAAAAGTCATGAGATTCCTCACCTCCGAATCCTTCCCGCTTGCACCCTGTAACACTACTCCGAGTACACAGACACAACGGCAATCACAATCGCAATCGCAATCGCAACCACAATCGCAACCACAACCACAACCCAACATCCTCGACCTTGGAACGGGGAACGGCAGCATGCTTGCCCTCCTCCGCGACGAGGGGGGTTTCACGGGGGGCCAGATGGTCGGAGTCGACTATTCTCCCAAGAGCATCGAGTTGGCGAGACGGTTGCATCACCATCGTCATGACTCCTCCTCAACGCGGGACGGTGGGGCGGACACTGCTGCTAGAACTACTACTAGTGGTACCCCGGCAATCCGCTTCGAGGTGTGGGATGTCTTTGACAAGCGAGCTGTGGAGGAATTGGATTGGTTCCCGGCTGCTCAGGGCGGGTTTGACATCGTGCTAGATAAGGGGACGTTTGATGCCATTTCGCTTTCTGCGGAGGAGGTTGTGGTGGATGTCGGGGGTGCAGCGAGGGTAGGGGGAGCATACAGGGGAGTAGGAGGAGAGGAAAATGTGGATATGAAGGGGTCGCGCGTGGTGCAGAGGAGGGTGTGTGAGCGGTATCCCGGCATTGTGAAGGGGTTGGTACGCAAGGACGGGTTTCTGGTTGTTACGAGCTGTAATTGGACGGAGGAGGAGTTGATTAGGTGGTTTACGAGGAGGGAGGTGGGGGAAGGGGAAGCGGAGGAAGGGGGTAGGCTGGTGGTATGGGACCGTGTTGATTATCCGAAGTTTCGGTTTGGAGGGCAGGAGGGCCAGGGGGTGTGTACTATTTGTTTTAGAAGGGTGAGTGGGAGCTAAAATGGGGGCGGTGTCCTGGGTTAAAAGCTATGATGGGGTGATGAGTTATGAAAATAGAGTATAGAATAAAAAAAAAAAAATCATTTTCGATATCAGCGTCATGAAAACGACCAGTTTGCCTGGGGTTCAATTGTAACTCTCTGCTATTCTGGAGCCCTAGTATAAAATTCATCACAACCATCACATATAAAAAGACATGTAAAATCTACATCCCAAATGACGGTTACTATTTCACCCCTTTCTCAAGAACGCAACAACGCACCATCTCGCCCTGTTTTCCGGGCCCTCTTCCGGACGTACAGACATCCACTCCCTCGTAACCTCCCCTTCCTCACTCGTCGCATTGACGTCTCGTTCCCATATCTTCTCCACAACTAAACCCATAGCCACTGCCGTCTCAAAGAATGATGCCACAATCTCTCTTCCAGTATGGAATCCCGCAACTACCCAAGCTACGGCCCCATTTACATCTGGCGACGACGACGGTGATGATGATGGTGATGATGCTGGTGGTGCGAGAAACCACAATAAACTCCGTACAAGATTCTCATGTTGATCTCTCATCCACAGACAATCCGCCGCAATGATCCTGGTAAATGAGGCTTGATTCTCCACGGTGAATTTCAAAGCGGTCTGTTTCTGGGGAGCTTGTGCCTTGTTTTCCTGGGAAGATGCTTCATCGAGACCCAACACACCCCATTCGTGCGGCTGTATGGATATTCTAGACTGGAGATGTTCGGGAATATTATTAGTGACGTTTGCCTGGATGGCGCCGTACAGGGCAGGAGAGGACGGATGGTCTGTTATCGTAACCTGGGCAGCACCGGCGAGCGCGCTTACGAGTGACGGGAGGGCCGCGCCTGGTATTGCATGGTGTATGTTGGTTTTTCAGTTGGGGCTTTGGAAATAGTTGTTTTATTCGGGTATAATTCAAAGGGGGGAAAGCGAAAGGGGCACGCAAATTTTGAATATAGGTGTAGGACTGGACTTTGCTTCTCCTTTTCCAATATTGGTTTCTTGCACCAGATTAAAAGAGGAGAAGAAAATTGTACGCAGTTGAATTTATATATAAGTAGATATATAAACTTGGAAGTACTGAGAACAGCAGAACGGATGAAAGCGAAGAAAATACAAGTTTCGAAAAAAATCATTCTTGACTCTCGAAAACCTCCCCTTTCTTTACCCCTGAACCCAGGGGATACGGAATAAAAAAACTACAAAAACTCAAGAAAGGCAGCTTACCTGCACCAAGCTCCAAAACCTTCTCACCCCGTACATCCCAAATCAAATCTTTCTCCTTCCCCTCCTCTTCTCCCACCCCATTTCCTCCAGCCATTTCCTCCACTGCGCGCTCAATCCCTTCAGCAACAACTAAGCTGCCACCCCACAAATAATGCGCGAAGAGTCGCCTTCCCTCCTCAACACCTTCTGCTCCCTTGTCAAGCTTTTCCTCCTCCCCACCCCCTTCTATCTTGGGGTAATCGGGAACCATAACCGTCAGATCACCCCATGCGCCTGAAGTGTATAGAACGGTCTGGCCGGGTTCCCCTAGACATGATGGCGCCTCGTCCGGGTAGAGGTGTGGGAGGAAGCTTGTTAGAAGGTCTTCGACGTCATCGGTGGAGGTGGAGGTGGAGGAAGGGGATGAGGGGGACGGGATCTGGGTAGTAGTTGAGGGGTGGGAGGGGGGTTCATGACCATGATCATGGTGGTGGTGTAGAAGTTTTACGCGAGATGGGAGCATCGCGGGGTGTTTTTGGTTTTTTAATCAAAGGTAATATTTGTGCGGGGGACATTTGCAGTGGAGAGACACTAGAATCTTCTAGTTGGGTAACATGATTGCTCGTACACCAGAGGGAGAAGAAAAGAAGAAGGGGGATATAGAAAGGGAATGGGTGGTGTGTTGTATGTAGTCAGGGGAAGGGGAAAAAAAAAAAAAAAAAAAAAAAAAAAAAAAAAAAAAATTCAGGAGGTGAGAACGGGAAGGAAGCCTTATCTGATGCGATGACGTTTATCTTATGACATGCAAACATACAAACAGCAAGCTGAAGAAGGTATATACGGAGTACATATTTAATGTATCTCCGTGGCCAGTTATTATTAAACCCCCTTCTACATCGTCCAAAAAAAACAACAATAATGATTAATTTACATATTATGTCACTTAATACAAGTGAGACCGAAACATCTTCCGCCCATATCAGGTATCAGGAGAGGAGGCGGAGGAGGGGAGAGAACTGGAGGAGACAAAACGAGCCACCAGCAGTTAACTAAGCAATGATTTTCGAAACCCCAATATCGTCAAGTTGCCTGAAGAAAAACTGTTTGAGGATGAAGACCCCAAATTACATACGCCCGCCATCTCCGGTTGCAAGGATGACAATACATATATTGAACTCAACCGGCTTCTTTTTATGTAGGCATCCACTCATCGACACACACAACGCACTCAACAACACACTCCCATAAATAGCCCCCGCTCTCACTCAGCCCTGAGTACTCGACTTGAATGCTAGCGTCGCTATTACATAGTGAAAATTTGTAGTGTTTTCACGTGCGAAATGTGGATTGGAGAGGTGGATTGTATGGATTATATATATATAGTAAACGGAGCAGGGCTGGTGTGCTGTATGTAGTCTGTACATCGTTAACAAACGATTGGATAATAAGAAGAAGAATGGGAGCTAACTTGAAGTTCCCTTGCTAATCCTATGCGAGTATGGAGATCTCCAAGGCTATATAATAACCCCGCTATATAGTCGCCCATCCCTTCTTACAGCGTCGCAGATAGAAGTTAGAAGTAAAATACAGCAAAGAGTCCCGCCAGGGAGAGTGTTTATCTATTTCCCGCTCTCTACAGCAATATATCTATACATTTAGATATACTAGTTAATTCCATCGATTCAACAAAACCTCCCCAAAGCAATATACGCCTATCGCCAAACCCTCGCCCCTGTTCAGATCAGATCTACAAAACCAGGATCAAATGCAGAAACGAAATGACCCCTAATCCAAAATCATCACAACTCCCGCTCCTCACATACTCTACTACTAC